GCGGCTTCTCCTCTGAACTTATTACAGATCCCTGCTTCAAAATGATCCTGGAGTTTGTGGCAAACCTACCAATTTACCCCAAGGTTTTGAGCGGATTTTTTTCCAGCAATAAAGCTGGGGGAACTTGACCCCCGTCTAATCTGGTGTAGTGAATCACGTTATGGAGTGTAACTGGATTGGGAACGAAGGGGAAGCTGGAAGCAGCCGTTAGGATTTGTCAGTAAAAGCTGACAATCGGGGGGGGGGGGGGAGAGATAGATGTGAGCCAAGGTTAGGAAAAAGGCCTACAAGATGAGAAGTTTCTGGGTGAAAATAATTAAAATAAGGGGTGTGGGAATAAGTTGACACTGCTGCACTCACTATCAAGCTTAGCTTGATATTTATTTTTCCTCCCTCCCTGAGTACTCAAGTTGATTCTAATCTGTCTCCCATGGCATTCACCTTTTAAGGCTTCCACTGCCCATTCGGAAGGTGGGGAAGTACAGTGGTACCTCGGGTTAAGTACTTAACTCGTTCTGGAGGTCCGTACTTAACCTGAAACTGTTCTTAACCTGAAGCACCACTTTAGCTACTGGGGCCTCCTGCTGCCACCACACCTCCGGACCACAATTTCTGTTCTCAACCTGAAGCAAAGTTCTTAACCTGAAGCACTATTTCTGGGTTAGCGGAGTATGTAACCTGAAGCGTATGTAACCTGAGGTACCACTGTATTCATGGGGAAATCAAGACACTAGCTTCCCAAGTGACCCCCTGGGGGAAGAGGCTCCCTAACCCTCTGACTCCATTCCCCACACTGAGCAAGAAGAGTCCTTTATCTCGTACTTCCATCGTCCCACCTCCACCAAGGATAGCTGTCAACTTTTCCCTTTTCTCGCGAGGAATCCTATTCGGAATAAGGGAATTTCCCTTAAAAAAAGGGGGAAGTTGACAGCTATGCCACCAAGACACTGTCCTCTGGCAGGCCCCCCAGGACCTGCCCTTCCCCAAACAACGCCCCCACCTGCTTCCCAACGTGATCAGCAACGAACATCTCAGGGATACCAGGCAATCACATTGAATTACACTCGCCGTGTTGTATCCCTGGAGACGCCATGGCAACCCAGCCATGCTGCCAAGTTCTGCTTCCCGTGTAGCCTGCCCACCGTTCTGCAGACAGCAGACTCAGAGACATGCCCCTCTCCAAATCTGAGATTGGGAGGACTGCAGGAGAATCAGTTATGTAGGGACCATCATATTTCTTGCAGATATGCACACGTTCTCTTTCTCTTCCTGCGTTCCTCCCCAACCCCCAGTGCGCAGGGCTGGTGGGTGCAGCTGGGAGAGGTGATGGTGACCAAAAGGGTACAATCTTCTTGTCCCAGATCCCAGTAGAGGCCTGGGAACGGTAGGTTTCCGAGCACAATTCAAAGTGTTGGTGCTGACCTTTAAAGCCCTAAGTAAACAGCCTTGGCCCAGTACAGTGGGACCTCTGGTAACAAACTTAATTGGTTCCGGAGGTCCATTCTTAACCTGAAACTGTTCTTAACCTGAAGCACCACTTTAGCTAATGGGGCCTCCTGCTGCTGCCGCGCTGCCAGAGCATGATTTCTGTTCTCATTCTGAAGCAAAGTTCTTAACCCGAGGTACTATTTCTGGGTTAGCAGAGTCTGTAACCTGAAGCGTCTGTAACCTGAAGCATATGTAACCTGAAGTGTATGTAACCTGAGGTACGGCTGTATACCTGAAGGAGCGTCTCCACCCCCATTGTTCAGCCCGGACATTGAGGTCCAGCGCCAAGGGCCTTATGGCGGTTCCCTCACTGCGAAAAGTGAGGTTACAGGGAACCAGGCAGAGGGCCTTCTCAGTGGTGGCGCCCGCCCTGTGGAATACCCTCCCATCAGATGTCAAGGAAATAGCCAACTATCTGACTTTTAGAAGACATCTGAGGCAGTCCTGGTTAGGGAGGTTTTTAACGTTTGGTGTTTTATCACATTTTTAATATTCAGCTGGGAGCTGCCCAGAGTGGCTAGTGAAACCCAGCCAGGTGGGTGGGGTATAAATAATAAATTATTATTGTTATTAGATTGGATGAGGAAACTTTAGGTCTGGGCTCTGGGTGCAATCCTCTAGGCCCTCTCCACAAACCTCACCTGCTCCCTAGGCCTCAGCACCTCTCATTAGCCCTTCCTTGCACCTTCCTCAAATGTCTTTGCCTGGCTGGAATATGTCATCAAATGGCAACGATGCTTCTTGCTTGCGAGTGTATGTGTGGAAAGAAACCTCTGGCTTTTGCGTGGCTGGAACGTAGCTTACTGCGCAAAGGTAAAATTTGTGGAACTCCTTCAACACAGAGTTGCCCCCGGAAGCTTCAACTACGTATACAGTTAGCAGCCAATGCTAAAAACAACCTGCTTTAACCGGGCCTTTAACCCTTGATATGTGTGTTTCTAGGACCTATCTTGTTCCTTGGACTGTGATTCACTTTAACTGATTCAATATTGTTGTCATCCTCACAGTAATTTACTAATAAAGGTAAAGGGACCCCTGACCATTAGGTCCAGTTGTGGCCGACTCTGGGGTTGCGGTGCTCATCTCGCTTTATTGGCCGAGGAAGCCGGCGTACAGCTTCCGGGTCATGTGGCCAGCATGACTAAGCCGCTTCTGGCGAACCAGAGCAGCGCACAGAAACACCATTTACCTTCCCGCCGGAGTGGTACCTATTTATCTACTTGCACTTTGACGTGCTTTCGAACTGCTAGGTTGGCAGGAACTGAGACCGAGCAACGGGAGCTCACCCTGTCGCGGGGATTCGAACCGCCGACCTTCTGATCTGCAAGTCCTAGGCTCTGTGGTTTAACTCACAGCGCCACCCGCGTCCCCACTAAGTTACTAATAACTTGCTGCTATTAGTAAATTTATTGCCCGCCCTTTTGCCAAGCAGGTCCCAGGGCGAGTTGCGAGAATTTGAAAATTCAGGATTGAAAACAGTTAAAACAGATGGCAGTCACAGAATACTGAGTTTTAAATTGTTGTAACCTCTTCTGTGACCTGCTGGTCAAGGAAAATGGAACCCAAATATGAAAAAAAGATTAAAAGGCATGTCCAGAGCAATTAAATTCTAGAAAATTAAGGATATAGCATTCAGGCCATTAGAGTTTCTGAATTGTTAACTCTGTGAAGTTGAGATCAATAGACATGTACTGTCTGGCTGTAATGTAAAAATTATTAAATGGACTGAATAAAATCAATGCGCCGTCCCATGTTGGGGAACCACAGATCAATGGAAGAGCACCTGCTTTGCATATATAAAGGTCCTAAGTTTATTTTCAGCATCTCCACTTAAAATGTTGGTTGGGTTGGTGAATAGTTTGTCTGGGCACCTTAAGGCTGATATGACCAGTTGTATTCATGTTTTTTTTAAAAATTGGGTTTACGATTATTTCACCTTTGCATCGAAAGCTGTGGTTTTCTCATTTCTGCTGTTAAGAGTTGCGGTGACTTCTCCAGCTGCTAGGTGCCGTGTGCACATCAACAGCAGGGATGTGGCAAAGTGTGCAATGGCTGTTTTGCAACAGCAAGCTACTGCACATAGTTGAATAAGCTTGCTTGGAGCAGTGTGCTAAAAATCAGTGCACCTTTGCTTTTGTTTTTCAAGGAGCCAGTATATTGCTTTTGAAAAAGACTTCGATAATATTACCGCTTTACATTTTACATTGCATTTTTATGTCACCCTACATTTTTTCCCTCCCCCCCCCCCCGTTTTTATTTGCACAACAACCCTGAGAGGTAGAGCTGGCTGACAGTGACTAGCTCAGGGTCTCCCAGTGAGCTTCATGGCTCTAGTCTGAGACTTTAGACACTACCTCACACTGACTCTCTTTTGCCTATGTATATATTTTTTGGGGGGGTGGCGGCAAAATAATGGAGAAATCTCAAAAGCCAGCAGGGAATATGTTGGAGGGGGCAGGCCAGAAGAGGATTTTCCAGAGGCCAAAGATCAGGACTTTTGCGCCCTGCAAACTTCCGTGCCTTCCCTTCTTGACGAACAAAAGCAAATTTATGCTCCATAGCTCCATGCTAAAACACACGCCCTGAATGCAGAATGGCGCAGCCTCAATCCCTGGCATCTCCAGTTTAAAGAATCTGGTAGTAGGTGAAGGGAGAAGCTTGCACCTGAGGCCCTGGGAAGCCACTGCCTGAGCAAGAGAGACAAAGTGCCTGACTTAATACCTGAAGGAGCATCTGCACCCCCATTGTTCTACCCGGACACTGAGGTCCAAAGCCAAGGGCCTTCTGACGGTTCCCCCGCTGCGAGAAGCCAAGCTACAGAGAACCAGGCAGAGGGCCTTCTCGGTAGTGGCGCCCTCCCTGTGGAACGCCCTCCCACCAGATGTCAAAGAGAAGAACAACTACCAAACTTTTAGAAGACATCTGAAGGCAGCCCTCTTTAGGGAAGCTTTTAATGTTTAACAGACTACTGTATTTTAATACTTTGTTGGAAGCCGCCCAGAGTGGCTGGGGAAACTATTATTATTATTAATTATTATTATTTTTATTTATTTATTCATACATACATACATACATACAAACATACATACATACCCCGCCCATCTGGCTGGGTTTCCCCAGCCACTTAAGGCAACTTCCCGGGCAGATTAAGCAAATTTGCATGGTGGTTGCAGAATGCAGTTGTTTGTGATAAAAAGTGCACTGCACACAGCACAGAGTAGACCTCTTCCTTCCTCTCAGTCGCCTCCAGTATTACCCAGCACCCAGCCGTTCAGAATCCTCTTTTTGTGTCTGCGCATGTTGCAATTCAGCGCTTCTGCGCATGTGCAAAGTGTGATTTAGCGCTTCTGCGCATGCGTGACTGCCGGAACCCGGAAGTAACCCATTCCGGTACTTCCGGGTTTCGGTGGTCCGTAACCTGAAAAAATGCAACCTGAAGCGTCCGTAACCCGAGGTATGACTGTATTATCTATGTTGAGTGGCAACAGCTCTGTAGGATCTCCAGTCCTACCTGGAGACACCAGGGATTGAACCTGGGGCCATCTGCATGCAAGGCAGATGCTTTTCCACTGAGCCACTATGGCCCTTCCTGGCAATGACCTCCAGAGATGACCTCCAAGGTCCCTTTCAACTTCGTAACGCTAGGCTTCTCTGAGCAGCACCAGCAGTAGGAACAAGCTCTCCCCCTCTCCTCCCATACCATGCAGCTCTGAGAAAGGAGCTGTTCTTGATCTTGCTCAGAGATGTTTGGAGTTGGGGGAGAGGGTTCTGCTAACCAAAAAAGTTTGTTTTACACTCGCTGTGAAGGAAAGTGACAGGTTCAGGAATCCCCCACTCTTCAGAGTCTCAAAAACGTGGCTATTCGGCTCATGCATCTTACTAAAGTGTTAGCCCTGACTTGGCTGGTGTACTTAGTATACTGTCTGCTTTTACTTTGACATTTGCATTTAAATGAAATATTGCCCTTTGTGTTTTAATGCTGCTCCTCGCTCTGTTCACACAACAACGAGTGAGTTAGAAATAATCGAAATAAACAGATTGGGAGGATTCAACCTAGTGCTAAAGGGAGACCATTCCATCAGCTCAAACATTTCAACCTGCCAGATGCAACGATGTGCTTTCTCCTCCCCCAGCGTGCTGATCTAGTGGGTTCCCCTGGACCCCCTTTTCTCCAAGCCAATTTGGGGTGGGGTCAGCGGGAGGAGAGGAGGAGAAAAGCCTTGTTGTGTTAGCAGAGCTCCTTGTGCTGGCTTCCGCTAGCCAGGTTCATTAGTTGAATCTGGCCCATGGAGATTACAGGTGTGCCCCAACTGACTCGTACCACTGTATTCCTCTTTAGGTATATGCTCTGCAAATAAAAGCTTTTTTGAATATTTTAACAAGTGTTGGGACACGGTTTTAATTTCAAGAGTAGGAGTCAGTGTTGCACATGATATTGGCTTCTTAGCTGCAACTGTAATCAACTGAAAATCGCTACGGATTTAAAACAGCAGTGAAATCTATTTTAATGTTTTGTAATATGGTAGCGCGGGGAGGGGAGAACAGTTCTTGAACATAACAACTACAAAAACCACCCAAATATGGGCAAGAATAGTTTTTAAGGCCATAGTAATGGTCAGGGGTCCCTTTACCTTTACTAAAAGGCCAACAGAGATGGTGGTCATAAATTTTCCTGGACGCACATGCCTCTCCTTCCTAGTTTATCCTCGCAACAATGCCGTGAGGTTGAGAAGCAACGATGGGCTTAGGGTCACTCAGTGAGCTTAGACGCTGACCAGATCCACTCCCTCCTTCCCTTCTGGATCACATCGGGTACCTGCATAATGGAAATGCAACTCGGCTGAAGTTGCCCCAGATTCCGATTGACACCAAAGCTATTGGGTGCCTCTTTGAACTCCTGCGATATGCAATGAACAAAAGCCAGCAGACAGAGCTGCGTGTTTTGATCTCGCCTGGAAATTGCACCCAAGCCAAGCAGTGATGAAAGGCACCAGCGCTTTATGCTTTTCTGTGCCACTTGTAGAATACATTTCACCGAGCAAGATTTTTATCTTAAAGGGTATTGAGTCTGCGCTCACGTTTTGAAGCAAGAGACAGCCCGGACAACATATTTATAAACTTTCTTTTTTAAAATGGGCCTTACAGCCCCAAATATTTGGCCACAGTAGCTCAGTGTGTGGAGCAGGTACAAAAGTTCCCACATTCCCAAACAGTGGTGGTGTCGTGGTTAAGAGTGTTGGACCAGGTCCTGGGTTCAAATCTTCACTTGGCCATAATATAGAACTGCAAAGTCTGAAGGGGCCATGAGGATCATAGAGTCCAACTCCCTGCAGTGCAGGAATATTTTGCCCAACGTGGGGCTCGAATCCACAACCCTCAGATTGAGAGTCTCATGCTATACCAGTGAAGCTCTCAAGGTGACCTTGCGCCTGACGCTAACTCTCAGCTTTACTTACATCACAGGGTTGTGGTGGGGATTAAATGAGTGGGGTGGGGGTACCATGTAAGAAACCTTGAGCTCCTTTAAGCACTTAGGGTGCTAATTGGCTGCCCTTTGTGGCAATCATGGAGCCACTTCCCCTCCTCAGCTTGAAGCTATGTTTCGAGTAAAAAATAAATAAATCGGGAAGCTGCCTTGTAAAGAGTCAAACTTCCAGTCCAACTATCTCTGTATTGGGTACAGTGAATGGCAGCAGCTCTCCTGGGTTTCAAGAAAGCGGCATCTCTAGCCTTAACTTACCTAGAGATACTGGGGATTTAATTTACCATATTTTTCGCCCCATAGGACGCACTTTTTCCCTTCCAAAAATGAAGGGGAAATGTGTGTGCGTCCTATGGGGTGAATGCAGGCTTTCGCTGAAGCCTGGAGAGCGAGAGGCAATGGTGCGCACCGACCCCTCTCGCTCTCCAGGCTTCAGGAAGCTATCCGCAAACCTTGCGCGCCCGGCGGGAGGTCCTGCCGGGCGCGCGAGGCTTAGGGCGGCAGCCTGCAGCCCGAAGCACGGGGAGCCCTCCGGAGGGCTCCCTGTGCTTCGGGCGGGTGTGCGCAAGGCTTGGGGCGGCAGCTGCGGCTGGGGGGGGGGAATAAATTTTTTTTATTCATTCCCCCCCCCCAAAAAATGAGGTGCATCCTATGGGCCGGTGTGCCCTATAGGACGAAAAATACGGTATTTATTTATTCCATTTATTGCGTGTGGAGGGGGCGGAATACATAATAAATTATTATTACTGTTTAGGGAAGTTTTTAATGTCTGAGGCTGTATTGTTTTTAATATAAGGCTGGAAGCCGCCCAGAGTGGCTGGGGAAACCCTGCCAGATAGGCGGGGGATAAATAATAAATTATTATTATTATTATAAATCACCCATGTGGTGGAAGCGATGCTTTGTCCAAACCTGGAGTAAAGGTTTGTCTCCCCACCAAGAACAAACCTTGGTTACAGGCTCATGATTTCTCTGGAAGGGAAACAAACCATAAGCCCAGGTTGAGACAGAATTCTAAGACAAGCCATGGATTAGCTTCCTGGTGTCGCAGCAGCTGAAAGGGCTAAAGCAGGCACAGTTTATACTCCATGCATCAGCGCACTGTGAATTCACATTTAGGCTTGACTGTGGTTTAAAGTGAGGTCCGGCATAAATGAATTAACAGAGTTCAGGTTCTCGTGGAAAACAACTAAGTGCCAAATATTTTTTAAAGACAAAAAACTTTCTGCGATTGCATGAAATATCAGCGGCTATGTTTGCTAGCGTCAGATGAGTAAAAAAAACCAAAAATGGCCCAGAAAAGTAACCCGTACACTTAAAATTCTTAGTGATGAAACTATTGTCTTCATGCCTACCAGACAAGGCTTCTGAATCTATTCCTGATTGTATGAAACACTGAAGTTTTAGGGTGGTTTAAAAAGAAAGAAAGGAAACAAGGAAAGGGAAAGGAGGAAAGGGAAGAGGAAAGAGATAAGCAAAGAACTAAAAGGACTGCAGCCAGCTCCAAAGACAACAGAGAGAAAATTGACACGCACACCAAAAAAGACTCCGAAAATGGAGAACAGATACCCTAAAAAATTCTAAGCATGTCAAGCTTTTAATAAGCAATGTCTTCAGCTGCAGAAACTGCTAACTGCATATTACAAGGGAGGTTGTGAGCGCCAAGCTACACATTACGTGGGCAATTGATGAGCAGATCTTCTGTCTCAGGGTGGGGTGGGGGGTTTAACTTTACAGCAGCTGTGGAAGGCTCCCAAATCTTATCAGAGCAGCAGTACTGGGTGAGGGAGTATTAAACCCTTCCACACTAGTTCCATCTATTTTTCCAATCTAAATTGCCCCTCCTGAAGCTGTTGTTAAGTCCTGTAGGAGAGGAGAACTAGCCCAAGCCCCCCGCAGGGCTAACAAGATCTTAAGGGCGTACAATTTTGGTGGAGGAAGTGCAGAGGGGAGGAGATGTTTAGACACCCACTTTCCCGGCACCCAGTCTCCAATCAAACTAGCAAGCTCCTTCAGCAGCGTTGCACCAAAACCAGCAATGTTTGTTTTATTTATTTAAAAGCATTCTTATCACTCTCTTCAGTAGAAAAGACTCTTAAAAGCTGCTTACGGAGAAATAAGAAATAACAATAAAGCCCATGTCCTTGGGCTTATGATCTGTAAGACATGGCACAGAAAGAAAGGGCGATGGGGAGGGAAGAGGAAAGCAATGGAACTCAGGTATCAATTCTCAAAGTTCTTGTCGTCATCAGCTGGGAATGGAAACGGTTCAGGGAGGTGGAGTTTGGAGTCAAAAGGAGCTAATCTCTCAGCAGAGCCAATGGAGTGGCCCTGCTTCTCATTTCTGCCTGTGTCACAGCCTAGTGGGACTGCAAATTTCACAAGATAATATCACAATATGATAAAAGCAGGGGTATATCTGTTGCCATCTGCATGTTTCCATCGGGAGGAGCATAGAAAGAGGACAATGTCCTTCAGTTTGTTAAACCTGCTTTAAGTCGTTTACACTCAACTCTTCTCTTGTATATTATTCACTACAAAGCTCAATGACTAAGCTCTTTAGCGACGAAATGTCTGAACGATCTCCGAGCACTGGACCACTGGTATATCACAAATGGAATCATTATTACTGTGTTGTTCAAGATAAAATCTATTTTGGAAAGAGAAGAAATGAGTGCAGAACCACTGATGTATCACATGCGAACTGTTTATTTACTGTGTTTGCAATTGTTTAAGATAAAACCTATTTGGGAAAGAATTACTTTTGCCATTTTTATGGATGTTTATTGTTTGTTTACAGGTAGTAGCCTTGGTGATAATTATCTTCTGTCAATCGCAGCATATCACCACCCTGTCCATTGTTTTATTGCAGCCTAATGTTAACAGCAGCTACAAGGTGATGGTCGAGAAAGAGGCTGAATAATGGGTGTCACGTGTAAATGTATAGTTTGGCCATAAGAAACAAAACAAACAAGAATGGCATTTGTAAGGCTTTCCTGTTATAATAAAAAAATTTAAGGTCTTATATATATAAAATAAATGTACCAACCAAGCAAAACATAGATATGTGGACCACATGTCTGGAGCAGCAAAGGAAGACCGTCCTGAAACCATTTTGACTCCCAAACTGACCAAATGTTTTCTCTGCAAGGAGGGAGGGGGTGAGGGAACCTTCCCATTGTCTCAGGAATTGGGTAATCTCCATCTCAAAGGAATGGCCAGACTACCGGGAAAGGCAATCAGATAAGGCATTATCAGATAACCTGGCAGACAGGAAAAACAACAACGTTCAAATTTCTGTTGTAGACCGCCTTTTCTGTGATGTAGATATGATGTTTGTGAGGGGTGGTCTTGGGTTACACCCTTTCTGTGATGTATGTATGATGTATGGAGGGGTGGTCTCGAGCTCCAGGGCAGGGAGTTTAAAATGTCTATATAAGGGCAGGCACCCCTTTTTTCTGGGTCCTCCTCTGTTCTCCTGCGTGTGAGGGGAGCACCCTGTTGCAACAGCTTTAATAAAAATCAGGCTTACTAGCTGCTTTGCTTCTCAATATTCTCTGGTTGGCCTCTGTTATTTTCTCCTACGGATTGGGAACCCACTTAAGGACTCTATATGGGCTCTTGGATACCCCATAAGGGAAGAAGGGCAGATTTTGTTTACACTGTCTGGAGACAAATCCTTCTTGCCCAAGCTGACCAAATGTGAATCTCGGGCCTGATTTGAATGCGATGCTGGATCAGCAAGAAAAACTTACCTATGTGACACTGTATAGCCCAGCATCTTATTAAAATCGTGTTGCCTTCCCTACAGAAATGGGAGTCAGCACACATTTCAGGGATTCATAGCCCAAGAAGGCTCTAAGCTTATGCGCCAACACTGCACATAGATCAGCTAAGGACCCAGCATAGCTTGGATCCCCACCTTTTAGCAAAGGCGTTTCCGAGGCAGGTTGCAAAGTGACAAAATTAAACATGGGAAAACATTGCAACGGAGAAGCCATCAGGCTTTCTTTTAAAAGCAGCGGAGTAAGTGGCTTTTGAAATGGAGCACCAGGTGTGTGCAATTGCACTTAAGTTATTCCTCCCTGCCTGACTCCCATTAAAGAAACCCGAAACTCCATTCATCATGCAGCGAGTGCTTAATTAAAGAAGCAGCTAATATACCAACAGCAACTCATTTGCCGAGTGCGGGTCCTTGTGCAGTCAAAAGGACACAATCTGTACGTAAGAAACAGGCTTGGAGAAACCCTAAGGTTTGTAGAGGAACAAAAAAATGAGGGGGCTGAAATAGACCAATGAGAACTGAACAAGCTCCGTGGAATGGAACGCTGATGAGGAATCAATAAAACTGGGGTATGGCAGAATGGAGCGTCCTGATGAGGGTGTGGCTGGTTGGTGGCCTGACCAGGAGAACCATGCTGCAAAAATTTGTTGCAGATCCCTAAGGCTCAGAACAAAAACACACTGTGAGATTCTTGTTCCACATCATGCTACCCTGCCTAGCTACATGAGAGCGAATCTGCACCTACCTTTCTCTTTTTTAAAAAAGTATTTTTTACTGAAAATTTTCGACATAAAATACAGTAAGAATCAAACCAGTCTACAGAACAATAATGTTATTTTAAAAAGGATATAAAAGCAAAAGAAAAGAGAGAGAGAGAGAAACGTATAAGGCCCTTTATCATATTTATATCTTATAAAGTCATACCTTGGAAGTTGAACGCCTTGCGAGACTAATGTTTTGGCTCCCAAACGTTGCAACCCAGAAGTGAATGTTCCGGTTTGCGAACGTTCTTTGGAACCCGAACGTCCATCACAGCTTCCGACTGGCTGCATGAGCTTCCTGCAGCCAATCGGAAGCAGTGCCTTGGTTCCCGAATGTTCCTGGAACGGATTCCGTTCAACTTCCGAGGTACGACTGTATATCCTGTCATTCATTCACATACAAAGAGACAGACCCTCCTGTCTCCCACCTTGGAGCTACTTCTTCCGGGACTCAACTATGCAGCTGCAAACAGAACGTTTTAAGTGTGTTCTAAGTGCGTTATACAAATGTGATGCTAGATGGTGCTGGTGTGCTAATGGAAAATGCCATATATGCTTTTTAAAAAAAAAATTAAAGCATTTTCACAGCGTCTTTTAAAGCCCTAAACGGCCTTGGTCCAGTATACCTGAAGGAGCGTCTCCACCCACATCGTTCTGCCCAGACACTGAGCTCTAGCGCCAAGGGCCTTTTGGTGGTTCCTTCACTGCGAGATGCCAAGTTACAGGGAACCAGGCAGAGGGCCTTCTCGGTAGTGGCACCCGCCCTGTGGAATGCCCTCCCAGCAGATGTCAAAGAGAAGAACTGCCAGATTTTTAGAAGACACCTGAAGGCAGCCCTGTTTAGGGAAGCTTTTAATGTTTAACAGACTACTGTATTTTAATACTTTGTTGGAAGCCGCCCAGAGTGGCTGGGGAAACCCAGCCAGATGGGCGGGGTATAAATATAATAATAATAATAATAATAATGTGTAGATTCAGCCCCAGTCTCTCGCCGCACCTACCTTTCTCGACCGCAGAGACGCCCATGGAAGCCTGGGCAAGGTCTGCCTTCTTCTCCCACCTGCCCTCATCCGCATGGTAGACTTCGACCGAGGCCAGTGGGCTCTGCGTGGCGTCCACCCCTCCGATCACCAGCACGTCCTTGCCAAGCATCACCGCCGCAGCCCCTGCCCGCGGGGTGGCCATAGGAGGCAGCGCCGTCCACTTGCGCGAAACAATATCCAACATCTCCACCGTGTCCAGCGGCTGGCCCTGCTGGCTGCAGCCCCCCACCACAAAGAGGTGCCCATCTTGAAAGGTTGGGCTGCAGTAGACCCGGCAAGTTGGCATGGGCGGGAAAGCCTCCCAGAAGAAGGATTTGGCACTGGCGGCTTCCATGTCGCCCAACAGCCTGGCATCTCAGGAGGCAGACATGGCGACGGCCCCTGCGCTGGCTCGGTGTCTCCGTGGGGCAGCCCCCCAGAGACCTATAGGGATTGGCCTGAGGCGGTTGGTAGGCCTTCCTTCCTGCGCCGCTGAAACTCTGCATCCACAAGGCATTAGTAGACTGGGAGGCAAATATGGCCGCAAGGAGAGGCCAAGGACTCCTGAGGGAGAAGGCAAGGAACGCCGTGATGCCCGAGGGATGCTGTCTCCGGTGGGGAGGGAACCATTCCTAACCGGAACTGCGAGGGTTTTTCTGCAAGAGATGCCTCACGTTCAGGCCTGAAATGCTGGAAGGTAGCCACCAAATGTCTAATATACACAAGCCAGTCTTTGGAAATACGGCTCTGTCGGCAAGTTGTCTTCTGGATCTGTTTGTCTTGTCAGGTCTTGTGCAGATGATGAGTCCTAATACGGCTTCCAAGGGGAAGAGAGAGAATGAAAGAGAGCATTAAGGAAGGAGAGGTACAAGATTACCAGCGACTACCATGGAAGCCATTTTGAGGAATCTGTCTACAGACAAAACAGGCATGGTGAAATCTCCCAAAGGGCTGCCCGCAAGGCTTCAAGTTGCCCTTCACATTTGGGCAGAAATCCCAAATCTGGCAGCTGCTAAAGTCTCCAGCTTCCCTGGGCCTTCGGATTAATTTACACATTCCCCAGAACCAGCTCAGCGCATCCCGTATAAACCGAGGCACAGTTTGCAAGCTCCATCTGCCATGTGAAGACCTTCCCTACAAGGCCACACAGCCACTTCACTGCGGCGTTCTCATGAGAAGCACGGCTGACCCAAAAAAGCTGAGGCCCACCTCACAAATCAAAATAACCAGGGTACCCAAGGCCAGAAAAGTGATTTTGGCACCTGAGGCAAAACAAATCCCATTAATTTCCTCCCCCCCCCCCCGGCCAGTAAAAACTCAAAAATGAATAAAACAAAAAACGAAGGATTTGTGTGTTTTTTTAGAACACCCACAGCCAGTGCCCTGAGACGGCTGCCTCACTCCGCCAAAGGATAAGGCCGATCCTGCCTTAACCACCCCTTTCTCCCTCATTTTGTACACACTACCAAAAGCAGTTAATAGTTAATTGGGGAATGATTCTCCCCATCCCTAAAAACACCTGAGGTGTGAGCATGCCAACCTACGTTTTATAAGGGCAGAATCAAGAGTTACTGTTTATTTGCTTATTTATTCCTTTACGAGTCGCTTCCTTTGAATCACCTAAAAGTGATTTCACAATACCAGAGAGAGAGAGAGAGAAGTTCCTTTTATATTTGTTAATGGTTTGCATTTTTAATGTGTAATTGTGTGATATATGCAGTCTTACACATGCCTCCTTTTTGCCTCTTCAGCCCCAGGATCACATAGGGCAGGCATGTCCGAAGTCTGTTTGAGGGGCCTAATTTGGACCCTGTGGCAGTATATGTCCTGAGGTAAAATCCTAAAAGAAGCTCAACAACTTTAGGGTAAACTTCAATCCTAAAAAAGCTCAACAATGTTCACTTCATCAAATCTGGCCCTCTTTCGGCATCCCTGAATAGGGCAATAGAAACAAAAAAAACCAACATTTGCTGCTTACACACCAAACATTTAAAGCACATGGCTTCCCCCCAGAGCATGTGCTCTAACTGCATGGTGTGTACGCAGCCCAGTTGGGGCTCGGACTGGGAAGCCGGTTTACAGTGGTACCTCGGGTTACATACGCTTCAGGTTACAGACTCCGCTAACCCAGAGATAGTACCTCGGGTTAAGAACTTTGCTTCAGGATGAGAACAGAAATCGTGCTCCGGCGGCAGCAGGAGGCCCCATTAGCTAAAGTGGTGCTTCAGGTTAAGTACGGACCTCCGGAACGAATTAAGTACTTAACCCGAGGTACCACTGTATTCCTATTCTGCGAAGTCCCCCTGTGACTGTAGTGACAGTGGCAGAATTAGCTCGGCCTACTGCCCTCCGAGAACAAGAGCAACTTCCGGCGCCCTGGGGTCAAGGCCACCTGGCGTCAGGATAGCTGTGGTCAAACAAATCACAGGCGCCCCAAGAAGACGCAACAGGGGCCTGTCAGGTACATTCACACTCTGGTGCAAAGACAGCCCACACCGGAGAGAGGCAGACTTAAGTGAATGTGAAAGGTCCCTGCTGGGATGGAGACAGCTTCAAAACACATTTAACTGCAAAAAAAGAAAGGAAAGGAAAAAAACGACAACAGCGAGGAGGGTCACCAGAGGATAGGAGAAGCTGGATGTGGCAAAGGCACCTGCGGGAGTTGGAAGGACAGTCCGGGCAACAGCCTCCACCTCCTCCCCAGAATCACATCCACTCCAGTTGCCATAGTCTGGGAAAGCGAAATACAGTGGTACCTCGGGTTAAGTACTTAATTCGTTCCGGAGGTCTGTTCTTAACCTGAAGCACCACTTTAGCTAATGGGGCCTCCTGCTGCTGCCATGCCGCCGGAGCACAATTTCTGTTCTCATCCTGAAGCAAAGTTCTTAACCTGAAGCACTATTTCTGGGTTAGGGGAGTCTGTAACCTGAAGCGTATGTAACCTGAAGTGTATGTAACCCAAGGTACCACTGTAACAGCAACCTGGTAATTAAAGGTTTGCCAATAAAGAGCTCCCTCTGTAGGTTACCACCGTGTACGACCACAGCTTCAGCCACAGTCCTCACCTAGAGCTCCTCCAGGATGTTTGGTTTTTTTGGGTTTTTTCTAAGTGTATCCTACAACGTATCATTGATGCAATAATAGTGGTGGATTTATCCTGGACCATCTGGACCATCTGCTTTCTCGAGACGCTTCCCCAATGTTGCTGTCTTATTGTCACGGAGCTGTCCGGCCACGTATGTCCAGAGTGAGGAATTACACTAGTGGCCAAAATTGTGGAAACCTTTTGGGGAAAGTGTATTTCCAAGGTTCGATGGCGCATAACACCTCATAAACACTCATGCTCACTGGCTACATTCAAATGAAGGAAAGCTACTGCTACTGTCAACCTAAGCAAGTTGTGCTTCCTTTTTCTAACGTTCGATAGAATACAGATAATTGAACCAACATTGTCGCATTACATTCTTCATTAAATTATCATTCCACTGATCTATAATTTTATGGTATTACTCCAAAAGAAAGTGGTGTTACGAGCCATCAAACCTCAGAAATACACTTTTCCCAAAAAGGTTTCCACAATTTGGGCCACTATAGTGTAACTCGTTATTGTCCAAGGTCCTAACTTACAAGTTAGGAAAAAAGCACCCATCAGCCCTACATCTCTCAGCTTCTCTAGGCGTGAGCCCCAGGAGGCAGCTGCTGCAACAGAGAGACCCCTCCCCTGACCTCAGCTTACATATCTCCCCCCACCCGAGCTGCGCGCAAGCAAGCAAAGACTGTGTCCGTGGGCAACCTGCTTCTTCTTCTTCTTTTTTTTAATGATATTTATTAAAGTTTCAAAAAATACAAAAAATACAGAATACAGAAAGAAAAAGAATAAAGTTTTTTTTTAAATATAAACAAAGAAATAAAAAATAAAAGAAAACATACCAAATAAAACAATTAAAAGGACATTAAATTTCCATAACCTATCTTCCTTATACTTATTTCCCCGGACCTCCTCATACCTCCCTTTTTGTATTCCAGTTCAATTTGCTAATTCAGCAAATCCTTACCATTGAAATTACCCAGTTGCAAACCTTTTTCATATCTCTTAAAGCATTACAGCTAAAAACCCTTAGTTTCTATCCAACATCCTTCTAAGATTCCTTAATTTTACAATATTTCTGTAAATAGTCTTTAAATTTCTTCCAGTCTTCTTTCACCGTCTCTTCTCTCTGGTCTCGGATTCTGCCAGTCATTTCCGCCAGTTCCATGTAGTCCATCACCTTCATCTGCCACTCTTCCAGAGTGGGTAGATCTTGTGTCTTCCAATACTTTGCAATGAGTATTCTTGCTGCTGTTGTGGCATACATAAAAAAAGTTCTATCCTTCTTTGGCACCAATTGGCCGACAATGCCCAGAAGAAAGGCCTCTGGTTTCTTCAGGAAGGTATATTTAAATACCTTTTTCAATTCATTATATATCATTTCCCAGAAAGCCTTGATCTTTGGGCACGTCCACCAAAGGTGAAAGAATGTACCTTCAGTTTCTTTACATTTCCAACATTTATTATCGGGCAAATGATAGATTTTTGCAAGCTTGACTGGGGTCATGTACCACCTGTATATCATTTTCATAATATTCTCTCTTAAGGCATTACATGCCGTAAACTTCATACCTGTGGTCCATAACTGTTCCCAGTCAGCCATCATTATGTTATGTCCAACATCTTGTGCCCATTTAATCATAGCAGATTTCACCATTTCATCCTGAGTATTCCATTTCAACAGCAAGTTATACATTCTTGACAGAGTCTTAGTTTTGGGTTCTAGCAGTTCTGTTTCTAATTTTGACTTTTCCACCTGGAAGCCTATTTTCTTATCCAAATTATATCGTGGGCAACCTGCTTCTGCTCCTCCCTCTTCAGTCCTCGCCTGGTCCTGGGAGACGGTGGAGCAGGAGAGGTGGGGGCAGGAGGAGGTGGTGTGGCAGCGCTTCACACCAGGCTGACCTCTCCCTCCCTCCCTCCCTTATCGCCATCTGCAGAGGCGCTCTTTTGCTGCATTACAACAAACGCAGGGCAAGCACACCCACTGAGCATTTCTGCAGGATTTCAGTTACGGGACATGCACTGATTTGGAAAGGAAGCAGTACGATGAGCACAAATCGTCATGGATGTCCGAAGGGCCCCCCCAAGAGTCTATTTAGCCATCCCGACAACCAGCAAATGTGGCAGGTGCTTCTCAACAATCAGAGAGTAAAGGACCAATGGCCATAGATAAGTGATGAAGGGCCCTTCCATTGTTCGTCCACATTCCCTTTTAAACTCCGCCAGCTAAATTCCCTTCCTTTTTTTATAGGTCTGGGGGGAAAGCCTTAATAGTCCCTGAAGAAGAAGAAGAGGCAGAGAGAATGAAAGACAGGGGCGCTTTCCCAGGCTGCACAGTGACAAGCAAATGTCCTGCATTGGAACCGGACTGGAAGGAACGGAGGCAAGGGATTTCCCCCATCCCACTAGGAGGGCAACTCTCGTAAACCTGAATATTCCTGCCCCGTGGACTGAAGTGAGAGGGACAACCCCCTGCTACAGGAAAATTAAGGAAACACAATAGGGCTGTCTCCTAAGAACAACAATAACATTCCCACAAGGTGCACCATTGCATCTCAATTAGCTCATGCATTCTGAATGAAGCTGTGCAGAATGAGAGGGAACGTGTTTATGGGATGCATTTTAGGCGCTGCAAATGGCAGCTTAATAGTTACTACTCTCGCACCTGGTGGTGCAGAATAGATGCACACAGGGACAAAAACCGAGCAAAGCCCATGCATAAAGTATTTCCCTATGTACCTGTCCACACATTAAAATCTCTGGTGGGGAAGGGCTCCCTCCTGGTGTCCTGGTCAACCTAAGCCAGGTCAAGTGGCTACAGGAAAGAGGGCCTTCTTGGTGGAGGTGCCCCAGTTATGCTCTTCCCCACATGGTGTCTACGGTATTTTCCTTCCCAGAACTATGCAAAGACCTCCTTCTCGCTCCCCCCCCCAACTTGTGCTTTTTAGGGACCATTTTAAACCTCCTAACTGCTTCATGCCACTTTTATGATTTTGTGGCTTTGCATATTGTACAGTGGTACCTCGGGTTAAGTATTTAATTCGTTCCGGAGGTCCGTACTTAACCTGAAACTGTTCTTAACCCGAAGCACCACTTTAGCTAATGGGGCCTCCCGCTGCCACCGTGCCGCCCGAGCACAATTTCTGTTCTCATCCTGAAGCAAAGTTCTTAACCTGAAGCACTATTTCTGGGTTAGCAGAGTCTGTAACCTGAAGCGTATGTAACCTGAAGCGTATGTAACCCGAGGTACCACTGTACGCATTTTTTATTTTTGCATGTTGATTTTGATCTATGCTTTTTTGCAAACCACCTGGGAATATAGCTGAAGGACAACATAAAAATGCATATGTTAAGTAGAAGCGTAGAATCTTAAAGAGTTGGAAGGGACCCAAGGGTCATCTAGTCCAACCCCCTACGATGGCAGGAATCTCAGCAAAAGCATCCAGTACAGATAAATAACAATACAACAAACAATAGGCACTCTCCGTCCTGCTCTGTGGCCGGGTGGGGGGGGGGGGAGAGAAAGAGGAAAGCAGGGCTTCTTCCCACACACGGTTCCCATATTTTACAGGCAGCTGCTGCCCCTGCCCGTTCCGCAGCAGTTGGATCTGCAGACGTCAGCAAGTGATTCTGCAAAAGCTTCGCTTGCTTATTTCTGCACAGGCCACAGGCCAGGTCAGCCACCAATCTTATTTGCACAGCTGCAGGGTCAAGCAACCTAGGTGCCTCCTCTGTCACGAGCTTCTCAGCTGAAGCCATCAGGGAGACCTGAGCGAAGCTGGCTTTGAAGGCAATTTGTCAGATCATTGTGAGAGGAAGAAAGAGAGCAGAGAGGTGGCAGCAGCAGCTGCTGCCTTTGAGACTCTGGGAGTCTCAGGCCTGGTTCCCCATGCCACCACGGAGACCCCACCGCGCTCTGTGCCCCCACCTGGAGCTTTTAATTTGAGCGATAAATCTCCCCCTTTTAAATCTTGTCAACTACCAGGACTCTACAGCTCATTTATCTTCCTCCCCGCAAAAATTAGGAGCTCTAGTAGCTTAATAGCCAAGAGCTGCATAATTCAGCAACCCAGGCATGAAATATTGATAGCCAGTCCCCAGATCAGAAATAGCTTTTGCCTCTGGGGGGTCTTCCAGGGCTCTTAAGGAGACGGAAGGGAAGGCACTTATTTTGCCATCTTCAGCACCCAAGGGAACCTGGCACACGCCGGCTCTTGAGAACAGTTGAGAAAGGGGGGAGTTTAATCAGCAGGCAACGCCATAATTGCATTGAACAAGAACTAGGTGCCCCCCAACATTGCCTGGCATTTGTTCCCAGGTGTACTGCAGCTGCAGCATCTCATTTGTGAGAAGCCAGAGCTCAGCGGGCTAGAGAGTTATGCGGCAAAAGGGCCTGGAGTCAGATGCTAGAAAACTAGTTAAAGAAGCTTCTGCAAGCGCCTGTAAAAGATGAGGAAAGGAAAGCAATGAAGCAGCATAACCCATAGAGCTAAACTGGGATTTAAACCTAGGATAGCAGGCTATTTCAATGGTGCGTATTTATTTATAAAACTTTCTTATACCACCTCATATACTGCAGTTATGTTAAGGAGTGGTCATTAGGAGGTTTGGGGCTGGTAAGCGAGGGGTTAAATCCTGCTCAGTATGGCTCTACATGCTCCCTTCCTCGGAGCAGGCGCACAGAGCAAAAGCCCAGTGCAAAAAATGGTTTGAAAGCCCTTTTGCAAACAGCTCTGCGCTGCTCTTTAAAGCCCTTTTGGAAACAGCTCTTGCGCTGCTCTTGAAACCTTTGGGTTGTGGAGGTTCAAAGAACAGCGCAGGGCTATTTGAAAGCCCTTTTGCAAACAGTCCAATGATGCTTTCTGAGCCCCTGAAATCTGCAGGTTGAAATCGCAGCACCAAAGGCTTGCAAAAAGGGCTTACAAGCAGCCTGTGATGTGCTTTGTAGTGCGGACAGTATGATGTCAGGTGATCGACAGATGGGCAGCCTCACCCGCTTGTCAAATTTGACCATCCGGGGGGTGGGACGATAAGGATCTGGGCCACTGGCCAGAAAAGGTTCCTTAATACTGCATAGTATGGGCCCAAAGTCTGACTTGGTGTAAGACAACTTTATCTATCAAGGGCTACCAGTCAAACACACCCTCCAAGTTCAGAAGCAATGTACCTCTGAACCATAGCTGTCAACCGTCCCTTATTTGGCAGGAAAGTCCCTTATCCCAGCACTGTGTCCCGCTGCTGTCCCTTATTGATGATGTCCCTTAAATTTCCCGGATTTCAAAGGAAGCAGCTCCTCTCCCTCCCTCCCTGCCGGCCAGGGAGGAGGGAGGCTCCAACTGTGTTGCTTGGTTGCGTTGCTCACCCAATAAGGAGTCGAAGAACGACTGGGGGTGGAGCTTGCATGCCTTGTGCCGATCAAATCGGCCGCGTTGCCTGGGGACTCGCCTTTGCTCAGCACTTCCCAGCGGAGAGGTGACGGTGGTTTTCCTTGCTGCATCCCCTTTGCCAGGTTGCTGCGCTGTGGGAACCACCGCTTGAAGCCTTATTTGGCTGCTGGCTGGGCTTTCTGCTTTTGGCTCGGAGGGGCTCAGAAGTTGAACATACCTGTGCTTGGAAAATCCCTTATTTTGGCTGCTGATCCCTTATTTTTGAGGCTGCTGGTCCCTTATTTTCAAATCTGTAAGTTGACAGCTATGCTCTGAACTGCAGTCACTGGGGAACAAAATTATCTTACAAATAATTAAAACTACATTTCTGTCATGGGGGCTTTAGTTGCATTCCAGCATTGCAGAGGGCTGGACTAGATCAGTGTTTCCCAGCCTTGGGTCTCCTGCTGTTTTCGGACGACAATTCCCATCATCCCTGACCACTGGTCTTGCTAGCTAGGGATAATGGGAGTTGTGAACCAAAAACAGCTGGAGACTCAAAGTTGGGAAACACTGGACTAGATGACCCTCAGGGTCCCTTCCAACTCTACAATTATTTGTAGGTGGTGAGAAACTTCTAAAGGATAAGTACTTACCTGGACAACGAATCTATCCTGGCTGTAAATGGTGTATACTTTGGACATCCCTGAGAAAGGCTGCTGTATGTAGAAACTATGTTACCCTGTTAAGAAAAGAAATATATAGCATTATTAAAGGTAAAGGGACCCCTGACCATTAGGTCCAGTCGTGGCCAACTCTGGGGTTGCGGCGCTCATCTCGCTTTATTGGACAAGGGAGCTGGCGTACAGCTTCCGGGTCATGTGGCCAGCATGACTAAGCCGCTTCTGGCGAACCAGAGCAGCGCACAGAAACTCCGTTTACCTTCCTGCTGGAGTGGTACCTATTTATCTACTTGCACTTTGATGTGCTAGGTTGGCAGGAGCAGGGGCCAAGCACCGGGAGCTCACCCCGTTGCCGGGATTCGAACCGCCAACCTTCTGATCGGCAAGTCCTAGGCTCTGTGGTTTAACCCACAGTGCCACCCGCGTCCCTTAAACATCATTTGGAAATGGATGTGCGGAAAGGCAGCCCTTGGGGGAAAGGGGGAAGCGACAACCCCTGATTTGCACAGACAAGCTCCCATTTCATCCATCCATCCTTTAGGAAGGGAGCTGGCTCAGCTACTTCTGACGTGAACTGAGGCACTCCAATATTCTAGCGGGCACTGAGGCCACAATAAATAAATCAATGCGTGGCTGTTTCCTTACAGCAACGGTTCTCAAACTTTCTTTTCCCTGGGCCACACTTTCAGAATAAAAAATTTGCTCACATCGCACCCAATGTTTTTATTGGTAAGAAATGCATCAGGAGAAAATGATTGCTAGCAGGGACTGGTTCTTAACACAGAACACGACAACTTTGTGAGACACCCAGAAAGTATAAAAAACAATGAGAACATGGATCCTTTCCAAAATTCTGCAAGTGAAAAAATTAATTTTGATACTACGCTACGCTGAAAGGTGTGCACGTTCCTCTGGTTGCCCTTGAATTTATCCTGCCACACTTGCCACCCTCTCCCGCCACACCCCTTGAGAACCCCTGCGTTGCACGCTTGAATATTTATCATCATGTACACAGGCACTCTCGCTTCAGATCTGAGACTGCCTACCTTGCTGAAACACAGGGCAATACCGGCTTTGAGCACCATACTTCAAGAGCAGCTTCCGATCCTACCATCCAGACCTTTAGCTCATGCTGCTCCCTTGCTGGACAACAACAGCCCACTCCCACGGATCCTGCACACCCTACGCAGCTGTAGAGCAAGATTGCGGGGTTGGCGATGGAGCTGAACAGGGTGCAGCCATCTGAAGAAGGTGTCCGGCCACACTTTGCCTTGCTCTGATGCAGAGGCTTTTGACTGCATTGCTAGCACTGCTGACTCAGCAATCCCCAGCTCTGGCTACCCCTGCAGTTCAGTGCAAGCAGCCAAGAGTTTGGAATATGTATCTTTTAAAAAAAAAGGAAGGAAGGAAGCTAAACCCCAGTGGCGCTCTCTCTCTCGCAAGACAGGACGCGCAGGCTGGCCGCGATAATTCTGCCGCTGGCACCTTAACCATCTCATCCCACAAAGGGAGACCAGAGGATTCAGTCTTAAGCCGGCAGAAAATTCCTTTTTTATTAACTTGAGCCAGATTAAGCCTCAGTTGATTTGAAGGATCACACTCACTACAGGTAAAGGAAGGTGAGGGAGCCAAGCGTCAACATAACGCGAAAGGGAGAGGGAGGCCTCTTTTCCCTATCCACAGAAATTCCTACCCCCCTATGCAAACCAAGTCAGTGATAAGTGCATGATTTGCATATTAATGTCTGCTTGCGAGATATGGATTAGCGGATAATTTGGAATTGTAAAACAAGAGCTGGAAAAGCAAAAGGCGATAACAGAATATGAGGGGGAGCAGGAGAAGGGCACAGAGGAAGAGGTATAGGTGCAGATTAGCAGAACTGGGAGATAAAGGTATGGAATATTCACAGAATTGTAGAGTTGGGAGGGACCTTGAGGGTCATCTAGTCCAACCCCCTGCAATGCAGGAATCCTGCCCAAAGTTGTCTGTTCGTGGGCTTGAACCATGAGTAGACCTAGAGGAACAAAAGAGAACTCCAAAGGGGACTGAAGCCCCTGACCGCTTTCAAAACCACTTCCTGCCTACCCCCCTTTGAGCCCAGGCCAAATACTGATCCGAGTTACGTATTTCCCACAAACATGAGGACTAGTTGCTTGAGAGCAAAGATGCTCAAAACGCCATGTTAAGCAAACAGGGGAGTCCGAGGGCACAGATTAACAGGGCACACACAATCCTAGCTGAGAGGGGAACAGACGTTTCAGCATCAGATCCGACAAGAACACCGTTCTGCGACATTCCTCCATGCTGAGCCGCTGAGTTGCCAAGCAAGGCAAGTGCTGAGCAGCGGCTGACCAGTCCCAAGGCTGGCAGGTCAAAGGTTGAGGGCACAGCAGTTGCATTGCTGTGCTTTTCTGACAACATAATAACAATAATAATAAATTTTATTTATATCCCGCCCTCCCCAGCCGAAGTCGGGCTCAGGGTGGCTAACAACAATAAAATAATACAACATTCTAAAACCATTTCATTATAAAATTAATTCAAATCAAATTGATGGCAACCATTGGGCTAGAGTTCTGTGAAGATTGCCAAAGGAGGGAGTCAGGCTGTGCCCTGGCCAAAGGCCTGGAGGAACAGCTCTGTCTTGCAGGCCCTGCGGAAAGATGTCAAGTTTGTTGCTGCTATTGAGAGCGGCATCCACCCTGCTATACAACTCAGTAGCCAGGGAAAGGAAGACAGTGTCTTTGTACCTCATAATGCTAAATGGATTTATAATAACCCACCCTTTTAACAGTATCCCGTGGCATCTAAAGATGGCCTAGCTAGGGGACATGTACAGGCCATCTTTAGGGGCATCCGTCTCCCTTAAAACACAGAAAAAAGAGAGACACATATGACGGAAAGAAGAAGAGCAGCAGCAGCAGCCAAACACTGGCTACATGCTCCCGATGAAACAGATCGAACTCACCCGAGCAAAGGCTGGCACTGTAGCAAAGGCACTGGATTTTTAAGCCAACGAAGAGTTAACAAAGGGGCACAGCCATCTGCCTTGCAGTTCAAAAGAGGCCTCCCCCCTGGGGGGCAGCTTGCATGATGGAGACTCTGGTGGCAAGGGGAAACTATGCCATTCTCCCAGGCTTTTGGAGTAAATTTGCAAGCATCCTTTGGTTCCCTTGTTCTCCTGCTCTTGTCTTCTTGCTTATTTGTATTAGCCAAGTCGTTTCTAACGTATGTAATATTGTACTTTGTGCATTGTTGGAAACCGCTCTGGGATTATGTTGGGAGAAGTAAACAAACAACAGAAGGAGGAAAATGCATTTGGGGGGGCGGGAGCAGGAGAAGGGATTCACCATGATCAGGTATGTTAGGAACTAAGGATGCAAACAAGAACTGGGAAGGCAATTCGAAGGCATGAATTAAAAGGGGGCAGGAGAAGATTATCTGGTTAATTAGTGATGTTTGAGGGACAGGATCAAGAGAGGAGGAGGAGGAGGAGGAGGAGGAGGAGGAGGAGGAGGAGGAGGAGGAGAGCCTCTTCCTGAACAGGAATGTGACCTCTCAGTGTGCACATCTGCAATGGCATTGTCAAGGTGGGACTTGGGAGCAGATGTCCAGAGCCCCTCTCAGCCAGGGATGAGCCAATCTGTCCATTTTGGATGCTCTTGGTTTCTTCCCCTCCTCCCTGATCTTGAGTTCATTTTGTCATTTTAAAAAAAGGATTCTTGTGAAAATTTATCTGCCTTTTAGTGCAAATTCCTCATAATATTACAAAGGTTGGCATGCCATCTTGTCCAATACACACATTTTTTTTTTTGCAAACCAATTCCCCCTACTCTGACAGATTTTTGCTTTCACTAATATTTGCCCTGTTACGGACACCTTTCCTTCGTCTACATATTTCACTACGCACCCACTGGTTGCAGAACAGTGTCGCCAAATTCAGAGAAGTGCAAATTTCGAAGGTCCGCAAATTGTTTCGGAAAGGGCGAATTAGGTGGACAGAATCATTGAGTTGTAAGGGACCACGAGGGTCATCTAGTCCAATCTCCTGCGATGCGGGAATCTTTTGCCCAACACGGGGCTCGAACCCACGACCCTGAGATCAAGCGCCTCATGCTCTACCAACTGAGCTATCCCAGCTTTGCCTTTTAAGGGTGGACTGAATCAAATCTCCTACAATAGCAGAATAAGCAGCAGGGCCCCCGAATGCAGAAGAGCTGGCTTCCCTATGTTTTGAAGTAATACACATTTGCCATCGAAGCAGCAAGGATAGGACCGTTCAGTCCAGACTCTAAAAGTACCTCGCTCTGCGCACTGTGTCCATGTGGCCGGGGGTGGCGCGGGCACATGCTTCCTAATCTCCAGCTCTGCTTACTGTTTTGCGGTTCAGAGGCTCATTCACGAATAGCACAGCACTCTAATCTTAAACCCCTTCCCTGGGAAATACGTTCCACGGTGGAACATGTGGCAGTGAAATAGCAGGTTTTGCTTAGGATCTGGGTATAGGAAGCCACTTTGAACAGAGAGCTGGGGATTGCTCTCTCCAATCACCACCCCCTCTCCCATTTTCGGGTAAGATGCCAACAGGCTTGCAATTAAGACCTCAGCCAACTTGACAGCGACTGCAGGCAGCCGATAGGTCAGCCATCTGATCGACCAGCACTTAATTTGTAACCAGAAGCGCTGGGTTTCAACCCCTGCGGAGAACACTGTATATATCCTTTCTCTTGAAGCCTTTCCCTCAATCCTCAGATGCACGGGAGAGAGATATTGCGCACGTGATCAAAGCAGGCATTCTTTTCCTTGCAATGTATGTTCCAAGGCCTGGATGGCTCAGTTGGTGAGAGAACGGTGCTGGTAACGCGAATGTTGCAGGTTCGATCCCCACATGGGAAAGCTGCATATTCCTGCATTGAAGAAGGTTGTATTTCTTCAGGGAGCTTTCCAGCTCTACGGTTCTAAGACTCTAAGGCCGAACTCTGGCTCTGAAAACACACCCAAGGGCCAAACTAATCTCTGGGTCCAGGGCCAAGATGAAACCAGCCAGACCCGCCTTTGCTTCTTTCTATGTTCCCTTGTGGTGGTCCTTCTCCAAGAGCATTTCCAGGCAACCTGCTGTTTATTGAGCATTTATCTTGATTGGTTTCCAGGGAGGTTAGACGACGCTGTGTCAAAACAAGGAACATCCTGCACTTTCCTTGTGCTTTCGTTAACGCAAAAGAAGCCCGATCTTTTAGAGAGGTGTGTTTGTCCCACAAGATTCTCCCCATCAAACTGAAATTGCGCAACCACAATTTGCCGGTACATGATGGAATCCCGCTGGAACATGGTGACAGTCTGTGAGTCAGCAAAAACAATACTAGAAAAGTCTGGTACTACTCTTCTTCCGGCGACACGGCTGTGCCAAGCTGCTCCTTAATTCTCAACATATACTCTGTGACTCTCAAGCAGATAATAACACATGTCAGTGCTTGATGGTCTGTAATAGAGATGTCAGAGAATTCTGACGGAAACGGGTGCAGAAATTGCCAGTGTCTGCTTATTTGCCCTGTGTCCGGAACGGAAACCGATCCAGCAAACGCAGTTGCTATTTGACGTTGTTGATGTTTTCGGTCTGCCAACGATACCTAATTAATCATCCCCAATTCCGCTGCACTTCTGTTGCTCTGAAATTAATGGAACTGGCCCTGTTACAGGAGCCACGTAATACTCGTTCCGTAGTTGCAAGTAATCCATCATGGCATTACCTACACTTTGGAACTCCCTGCCTGTCGACCCCAAAAAGGCTGTGCTTAAAGCTTAAAACATTTCTGTTTAGGCAAGCATATCCAGACACGCAGATGCTGTCAAAGTTTAATCTCTTTTGCTGTTGATTTAAATTACTTATTAATATTTTAAACTGGTTGTTTATTGATCATTTTAATATTTCTTGTAAACCACTTGGAGGTTTTGCTGCAATCAAGGGGTATATACATTGTGTTAATTAAATGTAATGATAACGTAAGTAATTACATAAAATTCTGCCGCAATGGACAGCAAGACGACTTTTGTAGTTTTTCTCGGAAGCCGAAATGCAGTGGAATGGAAACAGCGCTGCGTGCAACAAATACAAGCTGGAACGGACATCCATGCCTTTTTAAATCCCTATTTTCCCAAAGGAGTGGGCTTCAAACAGTGCAACGCCTAGCTATTTATATACTGCCTGGAGCCCCACTTTTTGCCCCAAGGAGCAGAGCTGAGGCTGTGTAAATTCCAAGACTTCATCGTTGGGTGGACTCAGAAGGCTGAACTGTTGTCCGCACTGTTTCTGATCACACTTCCCCAACCAAGATCACTGAATGGCTTAATGCACAGTGCTGTGTGAGGCTGTAGGCTGAGGCCAATGAGAAGCTACAACCATCACCGCCCAGCCTGATGCCTTCATTAATAATAATAATAATAACAATTTTTATATGTGGGCCATCTGACTTGCTTGCCCCAGCCAGGGTGGGCAGCTCCCAAGAAAAAAAGAGTAAAAACTCAACCCAATTAGGTTACTCACTTCCAGAGTGCTGCTATTTTGGGGGCAGGATTCAAACACATACCAGGAAATTCAGGTAGTACGACAACTTCAACTGAAGAGGAGGTCTGGTTCAACAAACCCACTTCCCCAAAAAGATCGCGCTTTTTGCCATAGTGAAAGGGAAATGCACAGATAAGTGTGGGATGACATCTGCTTCAATGGTGCAAACAAATCAGAACGAACGCTCACATCTACAGGTGTCTGGATGGACCCTCGATGGCATCCACTCACTTCCTTCCCTTGCAATCCTCTTCGAGAAGAGTCTCATCTATTCAAACGAAGCACTACAGAAGAACTGGGATCAGCCAACGACACTTTAGGGCAGATATAAAGAAGTACTTGTCCACATGGCACACAGTTAAAACTACAGAACACGCTGTCTCCAATTCTGTGACAGCCAGTCGCCTGGACAGCTTTAGAGAGATCAGACAATATCATGGAGAAGAAAGTCACGATGGCAATATACGCTGTCTCCGGGATCAGAGTCCGTTTGTGTCTGGGTGCCCCTTGCTAGGGGGCGAATGGGGAAGAGGGGCTTTGTACCATGCTTGGTGGGCCAGTCCCCGAGGCGTCTGACTGGCGAGTGTAGGGATCCAGGTGCCAGACTAGGCAGCCGTTGCTCTGACGCAACAGGGCGCTTCGTAAGGACGTGTCCAGAGGAGGGCAACCAAAATGGTCAAAGGCCTGGAAACGATGCCTTATGAGGAACGGCTAAGGGAGCTGGGCATGTTTAGCCTGGAGAAGAGGAGGTTAAGGGGTGATATGATAGCCATGTTCAAATATATAAAAGGATGTCACATAGAGGAAGGAGAAAGGTTGTTTTCTGCTGCTCCAGAGAAGCGGACACGGAGCAATGGATCCAAACTACAAGAAAGAAGATTCCACCTAAACATTAGGAAGAACTTCCTGACAGTTAAGAGCTGTTCGACAGTGGAATTGGCTGCCAAGGAGTGTGGTGGAGTCTCCTTCTTTGGAGGTCTTTAAGCAGAGGCTTGACAACCATATGTCAGGAGTGCTCTGATGGTGTTTCCTGCTTGGCAGGGGGTTGGACTCGATGGCCCTTGTGGTCTCTTCCAACTCTATGATTCTATGATTCTATGAGTGAGAGCAAGCTGTTAGGCTAATGGAAGAGAAGCTCTCCTCCCCAGGAGTTTCAGGGGGGAAAAGTCTGAAGGGGAAGCAGTATAGAAGTGACCGGCATTAAAAATAAAGCATTGGAGGGGTTAAATAAGACAGAAAATCCTGATATTTCGTGCACCGCTATTAACCCAGCATAAGAAAAACACCAACCAGTCCAGTATCCTGGTTAGCCAGCCACTGTGAGAAAAGGAAGCTGGACTAAGTACTGGGCCATTGGCCTGATCCTGCAAGCTCTTGTTATGTGCTGTTTGCACTGCGGCCAGCTAGATGCCTGTGGGAAGCCAGCAAGAAAGACTCGAGGGCTGCAGAACTCTGCTCACCTGCCATGCCCAGCAATTCAGAGGCAACCTCCAAGAGGGGAAGTAGAGCATGACCATCAGGACTAATGGTCACGGAATTGCAGTCCGGGTTGGCAAAGAGTTTAGCAAGACGTAAGGGCTGCAGGTGGGCAACAACATTTTAGACTGGTTAAGAAGGAAGCTCCTCCTGAGCTTTCATTTATTGTTAATATCATTTCTCACCTTCCAATCTTTTCCCTTCCAATCCCGTCTTCACAGTCCCCGGTGTATCAACCTACCTGGCTGCAGTAGATCTTCCTTCCTTGCCAAAATATAGAGGCTCAAGCTACCTAAGAGCACGGAAGAATTGGCGACAGAGCACTCTGCACGTGCTCAGGGACACGGCCGGCACGGCGCTGAATACAGGCCTCCTATGCCCAACTCAGTTCTCAGCGCTACCCACACATCTCCCCAGGGGGCAGGACAGAAGGAAAAGTAGACTAGGGGGCGCCACACCGGGAAAGAACTGCGCCGCGTCGGTTGTTGGCAGGCGGCGGCTGATCTCCGGCTCGCCTCGCAGCTTTACTCGACGGCGCGGAGACTTTGAAGCCCCGGGCGGCTGAAGGAAGGGCTGGGCCGGCTCCGGGGCGTGCGCCGCCGCCGTAGCCAGCCTCCAGCTCGAGGGAGTCGCGGGGGCTCCCCCAAAACACACCCAAGGGCCGCAGAAGGAGGCGCGCTGCGCCAAGCTCCGGCTCCTGCGCCCCGTCGCCTCTCTCCGGGCGCGCTTGGGGACGCGCAGCCTTCCCGGGCTCCCTGCGGCCTCTCTCGGCTCGCCCAGGAAAAACTTTGCAGAGCGGCGAGGAGGAGGAGGAGGAGGAGGAGGAGGAGTCGCCCACTCACTCACCCGGCCACCGCAGGGCTCCTGGACGCCACAGTCCGGCGATCGGAGTTCTCCACCCGACGGCCCCGGGCAGCACCGCGCGCCGCGCTCACCTCCCCGGACTGCGCGGTCCAAACTCTGCAGGCGCTGGGGTGTTGTTGGAGGGGAGGGGATCGCGCCTTCCTGGCGCCTTCTTCCCCCCGCTCGCGGCTCCCCTGCTCCGATCCAGCTTCTCCCCTCACGGCGAGCTCCTCTATACAGCGCAGGGGGAGGAAGGAAGGGGGAGAGGTGGGCGGCGGGCAGGAGGGGTGGGACGCGGCCGCCGCCGCCGCCGCCGCCACACACGCCGCGCGCTCTCTGCCTTAACTCTTCCTCCGCCGGGCGCAGCAGCGCGCTCGGGACAGGCGCTGGGCAGCGGCGCCCGGAGCCCCGGGAAGGCGGGGAGCGCGCGGCGCCGAGCTGGCCGAAAGCCCCTCCGCCTCGAAATGCGACGGCCTCTCCTCTCCCGGATCCTCTCCCTCCTTCCTTCCCTACCCCGCACCCACCCATCACCCCGTTCTGTTTAGTGGGAATTTTAACATTTCCATTTTCTGAACGGTTAAAAAAAAATCCTATATGGAACAATTACATAAACGGAGCGGGGTGGTGTGTTTTGGTGGGGTTTTTTTAAGAAGCGGAGGAAACCCAAGGAAAGACGCTGCTGGAACAAAACAACAGCATCTCTTTCCTCAAGGCCGGTGCAATCCCTCACCCACCCAAAAGACCTTGGCACCTAGAAACATACCTCCTTCACCTTTTTAAAAAAATATAGGAAGCTGCCTTTGTCCATCGAACTCCATATTGTCTGCACTGACTGGCAGCAGCTCTCCAGGGGTTCTGGCAGGGGGCATTCCCAGCCCTGCTGGAGATGCCAGGGGTTCAGCCTGGAACCTCCTGCCTGAAAAGCAGATGCACTGCTGCTGTGCTCACTCATCAGCCAGAACTGAAGGAACAGGAGGGCTGCCGGCCTTCGCTTTTTACAACCTCTGTTTCAGGCCCTTGTGGCATAGCAGTCTGGGGGGGCTGTACTGGGACATGGATGCAGGAACTGCACCGCAGGGGTTGGACTTAGATGAAGCTCCGGGTACCTTCCAGCTCTACAGTTCTATGACCCTGCGCCGCTAGGTCCAGATCTCCATTCATAAAAGCTAAAAGCAGCAAACGCCATCTAAAGAGACTGTGAGACTCTCCTTTCACACACAGTGGAGGGACGACGCCACATCTGCAACACAGGCAGCCTTGCATTTAGGCACTTGCCTGGTAGCTCTAGGTGTCAAGGCATGCTGGCGAGATGCTCCTTTTCTCCTCCGCCTTTTAGCATAGAAACCAAGCCGGCTACCAGAAGGAAAGCCCCCTGCTTTTCACCCAGCAGAGAAATGCTCACCACCAATGTCTGCCAGCAGTGGCGTAGCGTGGGGGGTGCAGGGGGGGCCGGCCGCACCGGGCGCAACATCTGGGGGGGCGCGCTCGCACTCACAGCTCTCTGCCCCTACCTAAAATCCACGGGTTAGGGGGCACAAATTACTCGCCTTGCCCCGGGTGCTGACAACCCACGCTACGCCACTGTCTGCCAGCCCCTAGCAGGCTAGATCGTTTTTTAAAAATTCTTGCAGGCAAGAGGTTACTATAATGCTTGCATGCTTGTACAGTGCAAACATGGATCTTCCCCCACCCTGTTTTCTGTAACCTGTCTTTAATTTGTGCTGTTTCAATGTCCGGCATGTGGAAGATCGTTTTGGCGAGGAATGCTCTTGCCCACCAACGCAGAGCTCTGGTCTCACACAACCCCCTTGTGCTCCTTTATTGCTCCTTCCTGGATCTCGGAGGATTCGCCTCTTACTTAGATAGCACCCGTTTCCTTTCGCAGCAATCCACCACCCCCACCCAGCTCATGGGCTTCCCAACTCAGCAGCATTCCATGATGGAGCAAAGGCGGGCTAAGGAAACTGATGAAAATATCCTAGGAAGCTATTGCAGACCATTGGCCCCATTGGCTCGGTTTGGGCTGGTGGTAATCAGAGCCCAGTAACTTTTGAGAGCCAGAGGTTCCCCTGGTCCTGATCTGCAGGGTTTCCAACACAAATCCTCCCCCCCCCCAGCCTACCAGGAGATGCCTGCGGTCGATGCTGGAACCATCTGCATACCAAGCATGGGGTCTGCCACAGAACTGCAGCTCCTTCCCTTTAAGAACAAAACGAAACACAGCAATTCTTCAAAGAGAAGCTGCTTTTCCGGACTGCTCCCTTTCCAGCCGGCCGCTGGCATGCAGTATACTTCTCCTTAAAAGGGTAGGCAGACAGTATTTGTTTGGGTGGTACAACATGGAGAAAGCTGCCCCTGGAGGGCAACCATTGTCAGGGGATGGGCCAGGGGGCCTGAGGCTGCTCTTTTAAGCTGGGTGCCGACTCTCCTGGCTTTCCCTCCTTTTCTAAAACCGTTTTACTTTGCTTACAGGGTTTCTGCGCATCCAGGCCCCATCAGGGACACACACACGCTGCCACCCAGCACCTCGATCTGCTCAGATTTAAAGGCGCACATATGTATATCAGCATATTAAAGGTAAAGGGACCCCTGACCATTAGGTCCAGTCGTGACTGACTCTGGGGTTGTGGCACTTAACTCACTTTATTGGCCGAGGGAGCCGACGTACAGCTTCCGGGTCATGTGGCCAGCATGATTAAGCCGCTTCTGGCAAACCAGAGCAGCACACGGAAATGCCGTTTACCTTTCCGCAGGAGCAGTACCTATTTATCTACTTGCACTTTGACATGCTTTCGAACTGCTAGGTTGGCAGGAGCTGGGACCGAGCAACGGGAGCTCACCCCGTCGCAGGGATTCGAACCGCCAATCTTCTGATCGGCAAGTCCTAGGCCCTGTGGTTTAACCCACAGCACCACCCGCATCCCTATATCAGCATATACCCCGAGTCTTTTAAGTACCTAGCGGAATCCCTACATCACACATAACGTTCAGTGCGGCCTAGTGGTTAGTGTGTCAGGCTAGTACCCAGGAGAACAGGGTTCAGACCGCCACTCTGCCAGGAAATTCACAGGGTGACCTTGGGCCAGTCACTACCTCTCAGCCTAACCTACCTTGCATGGTCGTCGTGGGGTTTAAATGGACAGGGAAAACCACATTCCCTTGGAGAAGGTGGCATATAAATCCAATCCATCAAATTTTACTTCCATGAAGAAATGTATATATGAAAAATACATAAAATATATGAAACATCCAGTTGGTTTCTGGCTATCCAGTTCTCTGGCAGCTGCCTGCATCCATCTGTCATATGTTGACGGTTTGCCAGAGGTGAGCAACTGGCTCAGGACTGAGTGCCTCATTCGAAATGCATAATTAGTGAGAAGGCTGCAGCTAATTTGTTCATTTAGGGGACAGGCAATGAACCTACCTTGTGCACCGTTTGCATGAATGTGATGTACAATAAGCCAGAGATGTTGGACATATTGGATTTATTATGCAATATTAGTCTGGAATCATAAGCCACACTGTATGTAAGAACACAAGATTTTGTCCACCTGCTTCCAGCCAGCCTGGGACTTCACAAGCAGTGCATTAAGCTTGTATGCATCTCCTGTTGCTAGTCCCTAGCATATGGGTAATCACAGATATACTACTTGTATACATGGAAGTGTTTTGTTTTTTTTACTTACCGTGTTTAGTAGCCTTGGTAGTCCATTCCTCCATAAAGTTGTCTTAGTTTTTAAAAAAAATATTTAAGTCTTATAAACTGGTGGCCACCTTCACATCTTGAAGGAAAAGATTTTGTGCATGAATTAAAGTATAAAAAGCACCACTTGAGTCTTTAAAAAAACCCAGAACTCCAAACCAATTAGAATTGACATTTTAATAACTTAATAGATCTGTGCTTTTAAAGCATTTGTGTATACTTTGTCACCATCTTTCAAACCTTATTTCCATAAACATGACAAGTAGGTTTGCACTTGATGAAGTAAGTTACAGCCTTCAAAAGTCACGGCAGCTTCTGTGGCAGTCATTAAACTGGTGCAAGATGCTTTCCTCTTGTGTTTGCAATGGATGAACAGTTGTAGAATGTTCTGACAAGGATAACACCGAAGATTAGATGTCATGTGCAAAAGGTAGTTCTGTTCAAACTGGACCCAACTATTTTATTTTTTTTAAAAGGCTCCTGGGCTTTCAAAATGCAAAACTATCACAGGTGAAACCTTTTGTCTCCATGCACAAGTGCCTGCTAGGAAACTAATTTGGCAACGCTACATATGAAAGGGTCAGAACTCCTATGTCTTGAGTGGCAACTCATATCCTGTAGTCATCTTCAGAACAAAACAGGGCACCCTGGCCTTTAGCGAGATAATTGGAGGATTTGCGGGTGGGGGAGAAAAGCAACTATTCCCACCATTGCAAGATCATGACTGGAAAATCTGTGCCTATTAAAACTCCCTCCTCTTGTATACACTATTTAAAGACACAGGAGTCCTGTAGAGGAGTTAGTCTAGCAGCTCTTATGATTGTACACAGTACACTGCGAGGGAAGTCTGCAGAAAATTGACATAAACATTATTGATTTGAAAGGTTCATTTGCCCCCCCCAACATATAATCTGCATGATTTCACCCTGAACACCAATTACCTTGTCCAAAATGAGTTTGGGCAGCAAGGGCAAATAGCTTTGGCAAGCAAATGAGATGCAACCCTTGTGACAGAAGCTGCGTAATGCACTGCGTGGAGGAACGAAGTCCTGGAATGATGCTCAGATGCAGAGGGTGAAAATGGAAGATTAACTCCCAAGATGAGAGATGGGTAAGGAGAAAGGGGCAGGGCCCATACTTACTGGATATAAAAGGGCATACAGAGATGGGGGTACACATACCAACATCACTTTTCTTTTTTGACAGAAACCTGACGCGGCAAACGCCACGAGGAACAAACTTCCGATGTAAACGCTCATAAAAGGTTGAGCCAGGCACGGCCAAACTTGACCCTCCAGATGTTTTGGGACTACAACTCCCATCATCCCTTGCTAACAGTACCAGTGGTCAGGGATGATGGGGATTGTAGTCCCAAAACATCTGAAAGGCCAAGTTTGGCCATGCCTGGCTCAACATAAATATCTCAGATCAATAGAGTGCTTGAATAAACCTGCCTTCAAAAACAAGGTTATGGCTCCTGCTGGCCTTCCTGGGAATCATAGAACTGCAGAATTGGAAGGGATGACGAGGGTCATCTAGTCGAAGCCCCCCTGCAAATGCAGGAATCTCTTGCCCACAGTGGGGCTCAAACTCATAACCCTGAGAATAAGAGTCTTGTGCTCTACTGACTGAGTTATCCCAGATGTAAGAAAGTGCTACAATTCACAATGCCCCAGGGTTAATCCTTGACACATTCATAATTCAAAAAAATTGGAATGATCCTGCCCTGCTCTGTACACGAAAAAACTTTTAGATGCACGTTTATGCTTGGAGAGCAGTTTGCATATCCCTCTTCTTGTTTCATCCGGAGTAAATGAGATGATGTAAGGTGACATCTGGCATAACGACGGCACCCAAATCTTCATTCAAAACTGCTAGCGGTACAATCCTATCCGTGCCGACTCAAAAGTAAGTTCCGTTGAGCTGAGGGAGACTTACTCCCAGGGGGGTATTGGACTGCAGCCTAAAAGCATTTAGAATTCCCATTACCAAGGTAACCTTGAAAGGGGGGGGCAAATGGACTCTCGCTATGTGGGTTGTGGATATAAAAGGGTGTGTTAAAAGCAAAAGCTCAGGTTTTGAGCAAGCATTCAAAAGGTGTTTCGTGTGTATTCAAAGAAAAGGGGACGTTGGAGAGAGAGAATAGGGGGTGGAAAATGTTTGTGAGACAGAGAAAAGGGGGTGCAAGAGAGAGAAAAGGGGCACCCTCTTTGGGCTCTGTATGCTCTCACTGACAGCTTTGGTTTCACCCCCCAACAGTATTCAAACACCCCGCAACCCTGGGCATAGAAACAAATGGTCGCTAGCCCTGTCTTAAAAGTGCCTTTCGTGCGCAGCAGCTGAGATGGTGGAGCCAGGAGAGCGGTACTTGTTTCGGATTAATCGGCCTTGAAATAAAAGAAAGATCCTATCTGGGCACGGGCACTGCTAGAAGATGAGTGGGTCTGTTTGCCAAGGGGCCACTTCAGAAATGGCAGCCCGGCAGAATCGCGGCATTCTCCTCCTTGCCCAACTCTGTACAGGTGCCTCCTCGCACGGCAGGCTGCGAAAGCAAAGCCTCCAGCTGCCTTAATCCCTCAGTCTCGATGGCAACTGAATTCATAATTGATGAGGAGAGGCTTTGGGGAGAGAGCTGTCAGTCACTTGTCAGGCAGAGAAACAGGTGGAGGGACAGCACCACATGCTTCCTGAAGGAGCAGCGCTCTGCGTGGAGAGGGGCTTTGCATCTGGCACACAAGCCTCTTCTTTCAAAGATAGCCCCCCAGCCAAAGGGGGGGCAAGTGGAACTGCGCCGTTCCCCCTGCACTCCAGCACATCCCTCGTGCAATATTAAGCCACTGGATCTTTCCATTCACACCGGTTTCGAAACAGATGATAAAGCGGCCAACGTAGCGAGCCGCTTCTGGGTATCTTTGGGGGCAAAAACAGCGAGGCAAACACCTTGAATCAGTCACACCGAGAGGACAGTTTGCATAACACTTTTTAAATGGGCAAACTGCCCTGCAAGAGCCTCGAGCATTTCCATAATACTCCTGTGAGACAGGAGATTACTAATTTCCATTCACAGCTGATGCCCTGCCCACAACAGCAGGAGCCTGCCTAGGTTTCAGCCGGTGGGGAAGCCCTTGTTGTGGGTCACCTCACGCCCAGCTGCCACTTACTGCGCTGCTGCAGAAGGGAGGTGATGCAGCAAGCACCGGTCCACCCATAAACTGGAAGAAGAATCCAAACACGCCTTGCGCTTTGCATAGATCCACCCAACCCATATTTCCAGCCTCAGTGTGGATGGGCCCAAATCGGACCGAGGTGGAAATCTGAGCTGCAGCTATCTTCCTAGGATCACGCTGGTTCTGCATGCTTTCCATTCTGCATAGACACCATTAGGATGGAGCGCGTTGGTTATGACTGTTGCCTGCTTGACGAACCTCTTCTGCCAGCAAGACCTTGAATCCTATGCACTAAATAAGTCGCCTCCTCCCCTCTGCTTCCTTGGCAACCCCTTGACTGCATTCTCCTCCAGGCATTGTGAACAGGAATGACACCCAGAAAAGTACACTTGTTGGCTTCCCCCCAGGCTCTGGCCCACCCTTCTTCCAAAGACCCAAGGAACAAGCTGGACCAAAGCGAGGATCCATCGAAACCAGCATCCCCTGTCCTGACATGCCGCTGAGACATGCACAAACAAAGCGTGGAAGCAACAGCATTTCTGCAGGGCCCGATATCCAGGGGTACATCATCTCTGAATATGGAGGTTTTTTTACCTAATACAGTGGTACCTCGGGTTACAGACACTTCAGATTACAGACACTTCAGGTTACAGACTCCGCTAACCCAGAAATAGTACCTTGGGTTAAGAACTTTGCTTCAGGATGAGAACAGAAATCGCGTGGCAGCAGCGGGAGGCCCCATTAGCTAAAGTGGTGCTTCAGGTTAAGAACAGTTTCAAGTTAAGAACGGACCCCCGGAACGAATTAAGTTCTTAACCCGAGGTACCACTGTATGGCTAATCATCATGGATAAGTGTATCCTCCTCAAATCCATCCAGTGAGTTTTTAAAGGTAAAACAAACAAAAAAACAACAACCACATCCAAGAGGCAAATGCAAGAAAGCACTTAGTGCCCATGCAGTTTCTTTAGTTGCATATCTAACATATATTTTGAGATGCTTCCCTTTCTAAAAGTCTGTGACAGCCAAAAAGGGATACGATAGATAGTAGCAGGACCTAATAAAAAGGAATAAGCTGATTTGGTCTGTGAAAAATCCACTGGGTTTCTGTTCCAACTTTGAAACTGCCTGCTGGAAGCTCTTCTGTGGCATATGCAGGCGACAGGGAATAAGAGATTCCGACTCAACATCAGGAAGACCTTTCTGCTGGCAAGAGCTGTTCGACAGTGGAACAGACTCCCTGGGAAGGTGGTGGACTCTCCTTCTTAGGAGGCTTTTAAGCAGAGACCCAGTGGCTACCTGCCACGGATGCTTTTGCTGAGATTCCTGCATTGCAAGGGGTTGGACTAGATGCCCCTTGGGGTCCCTTCCAACTCTAGAATTATTATTATTATTATTATTATTATTATTATTATTATTATTATTAATACCCTGCCCATCTGGCTGGGTTTCCCCAGCCACTCTGGGCGGCTTCCAACAGAATATTAAAATACAATAGTCTATTAAACATTAAAAGCTTCCCTAAACAGGGCTGCCTTCAGATGTCTTCTATAAGTCTGGTAGTTATTTTTCTCTTTGACATCTGGTGGGAGGGCGTTCCACAGGGCGGGTGCCACTACCGAGAAAGCCCTCTGCCTGGTTCCCTGTAACTTGGCTTCTCGCAGGGAGGGAACCGCCAGAAAGCCCTCGGTGCTGGACCTCAGCGTCCGGGCAGAACGATGGGGGTGGAGACGCTCCTTCAGGTATACAGGACCGAGGCCGTTTAGGGCTTTAAAGGTCAGCACCAACACTTTGGACTGTGCTCAGAAACTTACTGGGAGCCAGTGTAGGTCTTTCAAGATTCTACGATCTCGCCTTCAGGACAATCTTCAACTGAGCAAAATTCCTGCTTTCTCAAGGCTCTTTCGCACTTTATGTTACATTTGCTCAGCAGCTCAGCAAAGGAAGAGGGTGAATACAACCTGAAAAGACTTGAAGCCGACTCGGAACAATAGCTTCCCCAAGCTGGTCCTCCGCCAGCTTTCTTGCCAATGCCTGGCAAAGGAGTTGGGCTCAGCCTCCCGCTGCTGGGGAGGTAAAGCTATTCTGTCAAACTCCTCTTTCAAGCAGCAATCGGGAGCTGTGGCCTCGCAGCGGCAGCAGCAGCAACAATAGGCACAGCCAGCCTCTCTGTGGGGGGTGGGGGGTGGGAATCCTGCTAGCACAAGGGCTCCCCACAAAGAGCTACAGCAGCCAGAAAGGTGCACTCGCTGTTCCATAAAGAATTGGGTGCGGGTTTTGTTTGCTTGCTTGCATTTTAAGAAAAACCCTCCTCCTGTACAACAGGAAGAGCTGGGCAGGCAAGCAGAATTGAGGAAAGGATGGGAAACATGTGGCCCTCCACTGCCTTTAGAGCACCTCTATCACCCCGGCTGTTGGGCCAGGCTCACTGGGGCTGATGGGAAAATAGGAAGCTGCCTTATGATGTAAGGTGAGAGAGAGAGAGAGAATCGCTGTTGGCCACCAGGCAATGGCTTTTTCCACCTGACCTGCCCCACCTTCCAGCTCTAGGAGCCTTCGCAAGGGAGCTGCTTCCAGAGGAGAGAGACTCTGTTTGCCATCAAAGATGGCTGGTTTCACCTGGGCTGCCCCACTTCCAGCCCAAGAATCTTTCAGAAGGGAGTTGCTGCCACAGACGTCATGTAGATGTGGGTTTTAATGAACTGAACAGTGGTAGATTATGAGTCATGGGGGTGTGCATGAACTTAGTGCTTAGTTTGTGTTTTTGGCTGCTGTTTTATTCTTGTTGTTAATATTGTTTTATAGCTTATAAGGGCTGCATTGCTTGTTCATCACATGGTGCAACTTTTTCTTTAACTGTGATGTTTAGCTTATTTTTCAGTTGCTGCTCTGTTAGCGGTGTTGCCTCACTGGCGATTTGTTAATTGTTCCATATGTTTGTGATGGGCTATTACATTCTACCATGTTATTATTATTATTAATTATTTATTATTTTATTCCGTGAACCGCCCCGAGATCTCTTGATGAAGATCGGTTAAATAAATAAAAGAATGAATGAATGAATGAATGAATATTGTGTGTATTGTGTTGATGAAGATCGGTTAAATAAATAAATAAGGAATGAATGAATATTGTGTGTAAGCCACTTTGGGATTCATTTGAATGAAAAGCGATGAAAAAACAAAACAAATCAAAAATGCCAAATCGGACTGTCCGTCATCCGGCTCAGTCTGCCCACACTGGCTGGCAGAAGCTCTCCAGGATTTCAGAAAGGGGTGTCTAGAGGCCTACCTGGAGATGTCGAGGATTGAACCTGGGACCTTCTGAATGCAAAGCAGATGCTCTACCGCTGAGCCACGGAACCTTCCCTGGACCACAGGTTCCACATCCCTGACTTAGGACATCCCCCTAGCATCACAAAGACCAGCTTCTTTCTGTCCACATCGATCTGCATGCACACAGAGAGGGAAACGAAGCGAAGCCCCTGTTTCTGAAGACAAAAGGCTCTGGAGGGTGGCTGCTGGATGATCTCACAGCTGTCCTGTTCATGAACGGGGAAGAGATGAACAATTCTCTAAACGGGCGAAATTCACAAGCTGCCGAACCTCATTTAGCTCAGCTGTGCCAGGGGAAAAAAGCCTTAACCCGTGAACCTCTCCCACGGGGACCCACTTAGCACCAGGCTTTATGCGTTGGGGTCAGCCGCTGCCGCAGGCAAAAAACAAACAAGAGCAGCTGGAGTGGAGTTTAATGTTTGGAAAGATGGGCTGCGTTAACAGGCCAGCGGTTTCTCTCCACACCGTGGCTGAAACCAGCGAGGTAGGGCCCACGGGCCAGCTGCAAGCGCTTCGAGACAGAGGTTTGCCCAGGTCAGCCATCTCTCCATGAGCTCGTCCTCCAACATCTGAATAAATATTAACAGGAAGAAAGCCTCTGTTCAGGTGATCAGGTTCAGACAGCACCAGAAAACCTGCTTTCTGGGCTTGCAGACTGTTCCAAAGGATTTCCCCCGTAGGGCTCTGAGCCGGAAGCGAAAGTAAGGATAGCGACTCCGGTGGGAACTCCGACACCCAGAGAGAGGCGCCAAACAGAAGATTCTCCTCTTGCAAACTCCACACGGTATACGAGGGGAGACTCTCCCACAGGTCAGCCCCACTTAGGTGCAACAACTCCCCCCAGCACTGGCCAGGTAGCTCTCATAGTTCTCCTCGCAGCGTCGGACGCAGCGGCAGAAATAGCTAGGGTCAGCAATGGCCTCCAGGAGGTCTGTTTGAACCAGGCAGATGTTGTACAGCTCGGAGGTAGGGGTCGTGCGGAGACAGCTGCTTCCTCGCCCTGTGAACACCTGCCGGGTAAAAGAAGAGAGAGCCAAAATTCTGAGGCCGTGGATGCGACAGGAGCTGAAAGAAGGTGGCAACAGAAGAACAAGCTGCCAGCCAGCCCACCCCTCTCCTCTTTCACTCTGGGCGGCAACATGTCTCCTTTGGTGAGACGGAGAGGTGTTGGACCTCAAGCGTAACCCAGAAGCCCCTTCTCTTCAGAAGCCTGACAGTCTGGATGCCACAAAATTGGAGACGGTCCAGCCCAAGGAACGGGAAACAGATTAAGGCTCTTAGAACACAAGTAGTAATGGCAGAGGATGCCACTGAGTGTGTGCAGAGTAAGGTAAAGGTAAAGGGACCCCTGACCATTAGGTCCAGTCGTGACCAACTCTGGGGTTGCGGCTTTATTGGCCGAGGGAGCCGGCGTACAGCTGGTCTTGTGGCCAGCATGACTAAGCCGCTTCTGGCGAACCAGAGCAGTGCACGGAAACGCCATTTACCTTCCCGCTGGAGCGGTACCTATTTATCTACTTGCACTTTGACATGCTTTTGAATTGCTAGGTTGGCAGGAGCTGGGACCGAGCAACGGGAGCTCACCCCGTCGCGGGGATTCGAACCGCCAACCTTCTGATCAGCAAGTCCTAGGCTCTGTGGTTTAACCCACAGCGCCACCCGCGTCCCTTGTGTGCAGAGTGGCACCCGCTCGATACAGAGAAGAAAGAGCCTACCTGCCTATGATCAGGAGTTAGGAGGAAGGAATTCCATAACAGAGCCTGTGGCTTCTAGCAGGCCTGAGCCCTCATTAGAAAGTGAGGCTGGCTAGGACAACAGCAGGGAAAGGGAACTTTCGGCCTCTCAGACACTATTTCCTCCAGCAAGCATTCAGTCAAGAGAGTGTCAAACATCCCAACAAATACATCACGAGCAGCTCAAGTCCCGGGGTCTCAAGAGTGGCCTTTGGGGACCGAATGCAGCAAGCTATGGCTCAAACTCATATGGGAGGGCGGGATGACGACGACTTTGTAGTAACTTGCTTTGGGTTCCCTCTCACTGGAAGGAGCTCTGCAAGCCACTCTTCCTGAAAGCACTCCTTGTGGAAGATGCAGAACGGCGAAGCCCTTCAAATGCATTGGCTTTCAGCTTGTGTGGCAGCGGGGTTCTCTCCTGCCCTGATCTGCATATAGACTACTCCTAAGGAAAGGACGCGGGTGGCGCTGTGGGTTAAACCACAGAGCCTAGGACTTGCTGGTCAGAAGGTCGGAGGTTCGAATCCACACAATGGGGTGAGCTCCAGTTGCTCAGTCCCTGCTCCTGCCAACCTAGCAGTTTGAAAGCACGTCAAAGTTCAAGTAGATAAATAGGTACCGCTCCAGCGGGAAGGTAAACAGCGTTTCCGTGCGCTGCTCTGGTTCGCCAGAAGCGGCTTAGTCATGCTGGCCACATGACCCGGAAGCTGTACGCCAGCTCCCTCGGCCAATAAAGCGAGATGAGCGCCGCAACCCCAGAGTCAGCCACGACTGGACTTAACGGTCAGGGGTACTTTTACCTTTAAGGAAAACACAGAATGTTGTTCCCTGTATAATCTTCAATCTTGGTTCATGTCCTTACTGAACAGCACCTAAAGTGGCCCGATCTATAGGAGCTTCAGGTTGCGGAAGGGAAAATTGCACCGACATCCCCTCTCCTGCTGGAGCCCTTGACTGAAAACATGCACAGGCCCCCAGTCCTCCCTTCTGCGCAGCCTTGAAATGCGTCGCAGCCCTCTCTTGCCCTGAATCTAGCAGGCAACCTCCAGGAAGCAAAGAGCAGGCCAAAAAACTATAGCCAGAGGAGAGCAAGCTGGAGCACGTTGTGTTATTACAGTCATTATTATCCGCCGCATTTTTACACTAAGGTGTCTCAAAGCGACTTGCACAATAAAAACAGAAATAGCCCAGACGATAAAACCGGTGATAAAAATAGCAACGGCCAGAAATAAAGGAATGTGATCCATGCACTGAAGAGGAAAAAGCGAGATCGAGATGGAGGCTGACCTGCAACTGGCCTCCGAAGCCAACAGATTTGATCGGGAGTCTGCAGAAGCGCCAAAGGTCACCTCCACAGCATTCTCTCTAAATATAATTTGGCCCAGGGTCATGCGGCCAGGGGTGGATGAGGAACTGCTGCCCTGCTCAGCAAAACAGGGGCTCAAACATTCTGCAGATAGGGCAGAGGAGATGCCGGGAGCTTCTCGCCTCTAGTGCAAAGAGCTCTTTGCGTTAACTGATCGGCTATTAAGTACTGAATGCAAAGGAAGGAAACTTCCTTTATTTCCAAAACTGAGGGGCAGATTGCATCCCTTCCCATGCGCAGCAGAGAGCCCCAGGAGGCCATTGTCATGGCTGGACTCCAGCAGGAACCAATTAACCTTTCCTGCCCAGCCATTCCTCATTCTGCCAGCCCAGCCAGTGCCAGTGTATTCCCTCCATTGCCCTCTCCTCCTCTTGGGAGGGTACACTCTCAGTCATGCACAAAGAGAGCTGCCACAACGGCCAGATCCTTCCCACTCCTCTCCCCAGAATCTCACTTCTGAGCATGCTCCTCTGGGGAAGCTGCCCTTTAAGCACAGAGGGCTGTGAATGAGCTTCGGACCGCTTGGAGGCAGGATGCTGGGCCACGGCAGGCAGCAGGGATGACTCACGCCAGCAAGAGCAGGCAGCACGCACCTGCAGTTCTGTGCAAGCAGTCTCCTCTGCTCACCTGTGGTTTAAACAGGCAGCTGGCTTATCCCTTCCACCCTGTTCTGCATCTCCTCTGGGGCTGCCCAAGGGTTTCCCCTGACCAAGCTCGGCGTTTGGAAGGCAGCTCTGCCATCTAAGGGCGGCACAGGGTTTCAGAGGTGGATGTCAGAGGGGCATGTCTTTGCTCTGTCTCAAAGCTCTGGCCACAATCCTTCACCGGCCCAGTCTAGCCCACCTCCCAGGGTTGTCGTGAGGATAAGAGAATTATAAAGAGGATATGATCTGATAAGCGGGGTGGTTTTTGTTTGTTTCTGCACTGGAATATTTTAGAGCAACGATCCATGGCAACGCTACCCGAGGGTGGATGATGGTGTCGCCATCGTTCAGGCGAATGTTGTCATCGATACAGATATGGTGGGTGCTTGTGTCGTGAGGGTCGATCCAAAGGGGCTTCCCTCCTCGGCTGGAGAACTGGTTCCTGGCCCACCTGAACAGAGAGAGAGAGAGAGAGAGAGAGAGACAGGATCAGAACTTCTATGGGGATTTTCCCTAGGTTGCTGAAGCGAGAGTCTGTAATGAATCTTAGCAAAGACCCCACCAGCCCACCTTGTCCCCTCCAATGCAATGAATGGAAACGAGAAGGCAAGAAATGTATTGCAAGCAGTGATCATAAGGGTCAAGCTGGCCTATTCTTTCTGCATACAAATACCAACTCAATTAATACATCTATTCTTATCCAACACAATTTATTCTGCTTTCACGGTTCAGCATTTGAGAAGATTTAGATTACTTTTGACAAGGAATGAGATGATAAAAAAAAGAAAAGGTTCAGGTCGATGGCGGACAGGGACTAAGAGCCCAAAAAGATGGATAGAAGTTGCGTTGGCTGTTCACGATCCAGCTCTTCACCACGGGAACCTCCCTCTCATTTCAGAGCTCTCTCGTGAGAATACAAAAACATTTCCAATCTCCTGTGCAAAAAAAAAACCTGCTTCTTCAAAATCATATTTGAAAAGCTTCTTAGGCTACCACCACAGGACCCTGCATGGGAGGGGAAACTGCGAACAGGTATGCATAATTCTCAGTGCAGGACTTCACATGCAATAGCAGCTGTTTGTGCTCCATGTACCACAGAACCCAGAAAAGGGTGCAGGAAGGGCTGCCAGTGTCTGCTGAAGGGCTCAGGCAGGGCAAGCCTTCCAGTACTCAAAACAAATAGATGCTCAAGTATTACAACTGGGTCGTGCTCAGCTTTGGCTGGCTACATTGCCAGATGGCCCAAGAGTCCGTCTTTTCTAATTCACAAATCTAACGGGTTTGCTCAAAGCTTCCGGTGGCTCAGACTGCATGTCAAAGCAAGAGAGTTATTCCCAAGAGAACTACCTAGATTTAGCACAGTCCGTTCCCTGCCTCTCCTTTTTTTTTTTTTTTACTGGTACAGGACAAGATGAGCCCTCAGTCCTAATCTCAGTAGCAGAACACAGCAGAACCAGGTGGATCTTAAAGAACCAATGGCGACTTTGCATTTTAAACAATTGCTCTCGGGTATCTTGGCAGATGTGAGCTCAGTAAGGGAGAGGTGGTGAACCTATGGACCTCCAGACGTCGTTGGACTACAGTTTCCATCAGGCCCACTTAACATGGCCTTTGATCAGGGATCATGGGAGTCCAAGAGCATCAGGTTCTCTATCCTGGCGGAAAAGGAAAGGAAGAGGCAAGCAAACATGTCTCAGCCCTGCAGGAATGTCAGGATGGAGACAGGGGGAAAGGGAGGAATCACTTTCTTTCTTTCTTCTTAATAATAATAATATTAATAATATCATCACTATCATATTATCATTATTATTAGGATTTATACCGACCGTCTTTCTCCAAAGGAGCCCAGAGTGGCAAATGTATTGTGTGCATGCAACAAAGTCTCCTTGTGCATTGAGAGTTTCCCCTGACTCTACTACCCTATGCCCCTTAAACCTGTTCTGGGTTTTCCTCCAACCTGCCAGAGCAGATTTAGGTGCACAGGTGTGGGGGGGGGCGGGGAGTCCCATTGCACAAGGGGACCTTGATCCATGCATGCAGCAACTTAGCTGAATCCCGCCCTACAATACTAATGCAATTAAAACTTCTAAAAACATTGGACGCTCAAACACACCCTAATTTATACCAGCCGTCCCCTACCTGATGCTCTACAACTGTTCCGGACGACTGTCATGTGAGGCCAGGACACAAGAAATTTGTGTGCTGGTGGGGCAATTTTAAAAGTCTGGCCAAGCTGGGTTTTTTTGAAAGCCACTATAAATGAATAACGGACATCACCCTAAGTAAAAGCACATCAGTTGCCACAGGCTAAGAAGCAAGCCGCCATTCTTATCCCTCACCAGTCAAAGTGATCCTGGAAGCCACAAAGGCCTTCCCTGGAGCTGAAGTAGAGGTACGGTTTCCTGTCACCATCTTCACTGGAGATCCGCCCTGCTCCCTGAGTCAACACCACCTTTCGCTTGCTGCAACGTATCGTTCCAGGACTGACATCCACCGGCAGCTGCCATAGCGTGGCGGGGAGGCACAGGAGGGGTGAAAAAAGCAAATGAAACACAGATCCTGTCAAGCTCTCAACAGCAAACTTGAGGTCACCAAAGCAGAGCATTGTGTGCACTGAGATGAGGAATCACCCTGAACTGGACCCGAGGATCAAGGGCGTTGCACTGGCGGAGGAAGGCAGGTGCGGGGTGTGTGGTGCACAACAGGTGCCAGCTGTGAGGGCGGATGACATCGCCTCGCCACCCACCCTCACTCGCTGTGTAGGTGGCAGGTTGCTGGTGACGATGCTGCCGCAGGCGGCTAGTGACGCCCCCCCCAACACTAGCCACATGGGCGGCTAGCCCCACCCCCACACGACGGCTAGCCCCGCCCCACCCCGGGTGCCAGGGCAGGTAGCTCCGCCCCTGGGACGTTGTCCCACCTGGATGCAGAAGGGGACTGTCCCACCAAATGGATTAAGGTCTCCTTCAGCCTTCCCCAACCTAGTGCTCTGTCCCTGTTTTGGACTACAACTCCCATCAGCCCCCACCAATTTGACCAAGAGTTTGGATTTGATATCCTGCTTTATCACTACCCGAAGGAGTCTCAAAGCAGCAAACATTCTCCTTTCCCTTCCTCCCCCACAACAAACACTCTGTGAGGTGAGTGGGGCTGAGAGACTTCAGAGAAATGTGACTAGCCCAAGGTCACCCAGCAGAACCGCGAACCCGGTTCTCCAGATTACGAGACTACCGCTCTTAACCACTACACCACACTGGCTCTCAGGATGTCACGAGTTGGAGTTCAACAACACTGGGTACTCGGCTGGCTACTTCCATGAGACCAGCAGAAACTTTCTCGACTTGCGTGTGAATGTTCTGCTCACATCAAACAGTGTTGCATGTTAAACCTGGAGCTGAAATGGATGTAAGGGCCAAGCAGTCCCTTTCCCATAGCCGGATGCCTTGGGAAGTAGGGAATAAGAACAACAGCCTGTTGTGTGCTACCAATATCTGATCTTGACATAAATACTGTTCCTGGGTATGGATCTCAACTGCAACAGCTGGAGAACCCATGCAGTATAATGGACAGCAAACTCTATTGCAGAGATCTGGGTGGAAATGTCCACTCAGTCATGAAATTTACACAGGGCAGCTTTGGGCCAGTCCCGAACCATTAGCCGAACCTACCTCACAAGTATAAAAATGGGATCGCCCCCTGAGCGCAATGGAGGAATGGTGAGATAGAAATGTAACACATTAAGTAATAAATATAATTGCATTACCATCAAACATCCCCTAACAGATCACAAAGGTTGCCATAGCTGAATTCTCTCGGCAGCTGGCAGTGTACCAGAACTGATGAATGTGGCAAAAGTTCAGTCCTTAACAACACTGAAATTTACTCACATTTAATTCCAATTATAAAGGAAGGCTTTAGCGGTGTCAAAATATTTATTTGGTCCTCTCAAATCCCACTAAGCATCAACGGATGGCAGAATTTGTCTCTTTTCATGCATCAAATGCCTTCTGTCTAAGCAGAGAGCCAGCACGGTCCAATCTTGTGGACAGTGTTTTGGACTTCAATCAAATGCCGCCTTAGTCACCATCTTGGCAAGCTCGTTGTTGTTTGCTTCAGTTTCTCATCTGTAAAATGGGAACATTAAGTGCCCCAAGCTGCACAAGGAGTACAAGCTAAAGTCTGCAGTGCTCTACCCTTCAAACCTAGCTAAATAAAATAGGGCCTAGGATTCAGAGAAATGTGGCAAATGGAGGATCCACAGGTGATTAAGAATGGAAAGGTAGGTACAGGGGCCCATAGCAAGGGCATAGGAAGCTCTGCAAGCTAGAAACAGACCACCTCAAGATCATTTAAGTCATAACCAGGCTTTCCCCAGTTCCTGAAAATTTAGCCCATTATTCAGAAGCTTCACTTTGGAAGTACAGAGACCAAAAACCTGCTATTTTTAATGAAAGCTGAATTCCTCCAGGATTCCAGCAAAGCCACCAGGATTCTTCACTTGCAAACAAGATATTGCAATGTATAATACTGGCAGCCTTGGTCCCCAAAGCGCAAAGGAGAGTCCCTACCAAATCCAAAGCTCCACACCTCCAGTATTATATTCATTTCTTATCGGGCAGCCTAATTAAATAATGCCGGATTTAATTTTGGCTGCCTACCCTTCAGAGAGAGGAAGCAATCAGCTGTGAGCTTGGCAGGATTTCCTAGAGGAGGGAAGAAGAAGAAGAAGAAGAAGAGGAGGAGGAGGAGTTTGGACTTGATATCCTGCCTTTCACTCCCCTTAAGGTAGTCTTAACCTGCATCTCATAGGACGCCAACAGAGACTCCTAAAGCCTGCCGAGAGGCTGCATGGAAGGCCGGGACCTGGGAGACCAGGGTTCAAATCCCCACTCAGCCATGAAGCTCACCGGGTGGCCTTGGGCCACTTACTGCATCTGAGGTTAACCTACCCCACAGGATTGTTGTAGGGATAAAGGAGGATGGGGAGAACCAAGTATGCCACCTTGAGCTCCTTGGTGGGATACAAAGGCAATAAATAAAAAGGTGTCTTCAGCGGAAGGGCATCTAGAAAACTGAACAAACAAAAAAGGCAGAAGGCACTGGGATCAAAGAGCCTCAGCCAAGCTTGCTGGGCGTGCGGAAAAGGCAGGTCGTGACTGAAGCAGCAAAAGCAATGGAGGAATCCATAGAATCATAGAATGGTCGAGTTGGAAATGACCCCAAGCATCATCTAGTCCAACCCCCTGCAATGCAGGAATCTAAAATGTCCATAAAGGACCCCTGACCATTAGGTGCAGTCGTGGCCGACTCTGGGGTTGCGGTGCTCATCTCACTTTATTGGCCGAGGGAGCCGGTGTACAGCTTCTGGGTCATGTGGCCAGCATGACTAAGCCGCTTCTGGCGAACCAGAGCAGCGCACGGAAACGCCATTTACCTTCCTGCTGGAGCGGTACCTATTTATCTACTTGCACTTTGACATGCTTTCAAATTGCTAGGTTGGCAGGAGCAGGGACCGAGCAACGGGAGCTCACCCCATGGCGGGGATTCGAACCTCCGACCTTCTGATCGGCAAGTCCTAGGCTCTGTGGTTTAACCCACAGCGCCACCCGCGTCCCTAAAATGTCCATAACAGATGCTTAAAAACCTCCAAGGAAGGAGAGTCCACAGCCTCCCGAGGGAGACTCTCCCAGGATGATCTTTTTCTGGCCACTCACCGAGACGTCCCGCAGCGCAGGGAAGTGGGGGTGCTCCCCCTCCAGGGCGCAGCGCACTGCCTTCAGGACGCGAGCCAGGTCCGTGCCAAAGGTGCGGAAGACGACGGCAAAGTGCCTCCCTTCCCGGCGCAGGCTCTCCAAGAGGTGGAAGAAGGAAGGTAGCAGCAAGTGGTAGCGCTTTCCCCGCTGGCCGGGGATGGAGAGCAGCGGGTGAGGCTGCCCCTGCCACTCCAGAAGCTGCAGGTGGCGCTTGTGGAGATCGCGGAACTTCCTCCCGGGGGGCGTGTCCGTGAATCGGGTGTTGCGGCCGTACTGGGAGTAAAAACTCACGGCGCCCGGGCAGGGAGGGAGCAACGAGGGGGACTCGCTCAGCCACTGCCACTTGCCTGGAAGGAAAGAGGAAGGAGGTGAGTTGAGCGCAGGGGTCAGCAAACTTTTTCAGCAGGGGGCCAGTCCTCTGTCCCTCAGACCTTGTGGGAGGCCGGACTATATTTTGAAGAAAAAATAAACAAATTCCTATGCCCCACAAATAACCCAGAGATGCATTTTAAATAAAAGCACACATTCTACTCATGTAAAAACACACTGATTCCCGGGCCGTCTGCGCGCCGGATTTAGAAGGTGATTGGGCCAGATCCAGCCCCCAGGCCTTAGTTTGCCTACCCATGGTTAAAGGTCTAAAGGAAGGAGGAACTCTCTCTCTCTTCCACTGATGTGCTCACACTCTGTCCTGGGCCGTAAGTCCCAGCACAGGTTCACTTTCACCTTCAAAGCCAACTCGAAGCCTGGGAAGGGGACAGAGCTTGCCAACAAAACAACAAAACATCTGCTTTGAACGCAGAAGGCACCAGCATCTCACAGGAAATTAAGAGCCTGCTGGATCAGGCCAATGGCCCCCCTGGTCCAGCATCCTGTTCTCACAGTGGCCAACCAGGTGCAGGATTCGAGCACAAGAGCACTCTCTCCTCCTGCAGAATCTCAGAGATCGGCTGGGAAAGACTCCCTGCACGAAATCCTGGAACGCCACTGCCAGTGCCTAGAATGCACAGAGCTCAGCGCGTAGAGTGCCCTAAATAAGGACCTCCTTTACAGCAACCTTTACCAGCCCAGTGCCCTCCAGATGTTTTGGTCTGCGATGCTCATCAACGCTAGCTAGCACATCCTAATGGGAATTGGGAGTCCAAAACACCTGGAGGGCACTAGGTTGGCAAAGGCTGCTTCCGTGTTTCTGCAGCAGCCTTTTATTGAATACCTTTTTTAAAAAAAGTGGGGGGCTGGTGGAAGGAAGAGAACAATGCGCAGTGAAGTAGAATACAAATCTCTCACGCAAGTGGCGACAGTTCAGACAGAGGGCACCTGAAGTCAAACAGCTTAGCCAAGTACATGTTAATTTTAACTTCTTGGTGCTCCCGCATGTGTGCGAGAGAGAGTTGGCAGGCGGCTTTAACCTCATTCTGAAGAGACCAACGATATGTAAATGTGCCTGGGCGAGATACAGGATGCAACAGCTCCTTTGATAAGGTTCCCTTCGCACAGAACAAAAGGGCCTGATCTATAAGGAGATTTGGCTCGTGGGCGGCATAATAGCACACGGTGCTGTCTTGCAGCAGAGCGCCAGGCTAGTAGTCTCTTGGTCCAGATCCAAAAAGCCGAGGATGTAGGCAAGTTAGCCTTGAGCCTGGGATGAGATACAATGGGCAGGACTGCCCTGTTTGCTTTCCAATGCTAATGCTGAGAGGGAGTGCAAGTGGAGGTGTCATGAGAGGGTGGGTGGCTACGTCCAGTCCATTTTTAACCCATCTTCCCACCTCCCTGTCCAACCCCTTTTTCCTCTGTGGTATGGAGAGTACAGGTTGGGAGCTTGCCAGAAAGAGGGCAGTACCAACTCAAGGTGGGGGGAAAGCAAGGCAATCATAAAAAGATGCCGAAGAGAAGTTTTTTTATTTACAAAAACACTCAATTTTCTATCATTATGTATAATGCATCTGGAAAGCTCTCTTAAAAGACAAAAGAAACCCAACAAGTGACGCTTGCTGCCTCTGATGAACAGGACATCATACTTGAAAATGCGTTAGGCATAATAATAGAAAATTGGGAGTGCATTTGTAAATAGATTAATATTATTTTCTTCAACAGCTGGTGAGGGTTGTCATTTTTTGGTTTTGGTGGTTTGCTTGCAAACTTTTTAAATATCTAAAAAACAGGGGGGGGGTGTAAATTTTTATTCTGAAAGTATGGCCCAGAGAAAAAAGTTTGAGAATCACTGCACTATAATAATAATAATAATAATTTATTATTTGTACCCCGCCCATCTGCCTGGGCTTCCCTAGCCACTCTGGGCGGCTTCCAACAAAGATGAAAAATACATTAAAATGTCACACATTAAAAACTTCCTTGAACAGGGCTGCCTTCAGATGTCTAGATGTGAATTAGCACAACGGGGGCTTCCCCCAGCCCCACCTTCTCCCCACAGAACAGCAAGTGGGGGTAGGAGAGGGGAGACTGCTCCATCAGACAAGGAGAGATGCTTGTGCTAACAGAGCAATCTCCTTAGCCCTACATTAAATTATCCCCCAGGCTTCTGCCTCCTTCCCTACACACCCCTTGGCCATACTGTGTTTCTCTGCATCACCTATCCTGAAAATCAAAAATGATTAAAAAAACCACAAGCAATTCTTATTTCTTGCAGTTTCATCCAGCCATTGAACTTAAGTTTTATGTCACAGGAACTGGGATTTCAGCTGCTCGCATGGTCTTACCTGTTGGGTCGATTTTCCCCCAGGTGACAGTACTCAGGAAATAGTTTAGAGCAGCTCTGGGGTCCTGACCGGTGACAGCATCAGACACTATGATAGTGTTGTTTAAGTCTATGTGTAGAACCAGCTTCCGTTTCTTAGGGCTTAAGATCACCCCGGAAAGAGGGACTAAGCTGGTGGTAGTTCTTGGCTGCTGGCAGTCCATTTCTTCATCTTCTTCTCTTTGGGCAGACTGCCCATGTTGCCCTTCTGCACAGCTAAGATTGGTGACCTGGTTCTCCTCTGCAGAATTTCTTACACCATTCCCAAGACCATCAGTCTCAGAACAAGATTTTCTTTTCATCAAGCTGGAACTACCGGAGACGGACTGTGTGCCAACTGTTCCAGGAGCCATCTCTGTACATATGGTCATCAGCTTGGGTTTCAAATCGCTCGGATCCGTGTTGGAAATATCATCTCCTGCAGTGCAGCTGCCAGAGAGATCTCTCTCCCTTGAAGCCGTTGGGTCACTCATGGGCTGGGATGAATTAGGAGGGAGATGCCGCCTCAGGCTCAACTGTAGGGACAAATGGTCACTATTTTCCCCTATGTCATTCAATGTGAAGCAGAAGCTTATACAGTGGTACCTCAGGTTACATACAATTCAGGTTACAGAGTCCGCTAACCCAGAAATAGTGCTTCAGGTTAAGAACTTTGTTTCAGGATGAGAACAGAAATCGTGCTCCGGCGGCGCGGCAGCAGCAGGAGGTCCCATTAGCTAAAGTGGTGCTTCAGGTTAAGAACAGTTTCAGGTTAAGAACGGACCTCCGGAACAAATTAAGTTCTTAACCCGAGGTACCACTGTATAATTAGATCCAGGTTCACTCAGCTATAAAGCCCACTACATGGACATTCTACTGCTCAGCATGGTGAATTGTTGAGACTGAGGCATTGTGGGAATAAAACAGTGTGCTCTGATCAACTTCATAATCTGCACCCTCAATATCCTCTGAGCTAATTTGTGCCATTTCTTTTTATAGATGGGCGATTGAAGCAGAAAAAATGTTTACTTTCCCCAGACCACCCCAGCGAAAGCCAATCCACAAATTTGACAAAGCTATCATAATGCGGAGAAAGTGTATTGACTTCCTAAGGTTTACATGTGTAAGAAGAAACCGGCAAGAAAGTGCATTGAAAGATTTGCATTTATAGAAACCTGCCTCTAACTGATCAATAACTGAGCTGGTTCTGAACTCTAGTTTTAGGAAGGAACATAGGAAGCTGCCTTATACCCAAGTCAGACAACTGCTCCCTCTAGCTCAAGATGATCAACAATGACTGGCGGTGGCTTCCCAAGGTTTTCAGACAGAAGCAATTCCCAGCTCACCCTGGAGATGCTGGGGACTGAATCTGGGAACTTCTGCACTCAAAACACATGCTCTGCCATTGAGAAATGGCCCTTCCTCTCACGTGGTTTTTTAGATCACACATGCAACCTACTCCCTTATCTATTCACTAAAATAAATAGGGTTTCTCGTCTGTCAAGCTGAATCCAACACTTTACCCACCAGATGCTGTCAATTCTGGAACTAGAACACCGCAGAGACTCCAGCATACAAGGCCTGACCAGGATACACCCAGCACCTTAGATTCACCTGATCTTTCTCCTACGGTTCTTTATGTCCCTCTTTCAAACTGCCCAAGCACTAATTCCCACCATACCTTGCTCATCTGTTTCCTCTCCTACCTGATGTGTTGGTGTACACTCACTCTGTCCCACGTAAGCAGACAACCACAAGCAACAGCTTGCAGACATTCCATAGCCACCTGCTCACAAACAAAAGGAAGAACTTTGCATAACTGAACTTAGACAAATCATTGTCACAAGATGTGTGGGAAACAATTAGCAGAGAGAGAGGTTCTTAAAAAAGGGATTAGCTGCCGCCAAACATATGAAGGTAGAGTCTACCACTCAGAGTCTACTACTTGCCACAATTTAACATGGAACCTCAGCATTCAGGGCACATTTGTATGCAAGAATGTTCAGAGATCTTCTCTGTGTGTATTTCTGATCACCATGTGCAGGAGACAATGGGGAGTCTACTTCCCATTCTTCCTGCTTCTCAGTTTTCCAAAAGCAAAACAAGATAGCCAGTTGGAAAGGACTTGATCTTTGGTCTGATCCAAAAAAGGCAATGCAACTCTGTATTTCCACCTCTGGCAAATACATTTCATACAATATGTAAGGAGGACTGTTATTCCACATCAAAGGCAAAACAGAACCACCAAATATTTTCTTGCAAGAATCAGAAGCTAAATATTCTACTCTGTTCTTTACTCCTACACAAACCCGCCTTAGCTTAAAAACCAAGCAAATTAACCAGACTTGCGCAAGGCTGGCCAGCAGTTCTGCTGTGCTTAACGGCACTTGTTGCTTTCAAGCCAGCTCCTGAACCCTAAGGCTGCCTTCTTTCATGTACACACCCTAACGTGGGAATAAAGCTCACCGAACACAGCTGAGCGGATCTGCAGCAGGGTAAACCCGTACTGCAAGGCTGGCAATTACCAGTTTGGGGAGTCCCACGGGTCAGCCCACACAAGTCACAGAATCATAGATTTGCAGAGTTGGAAGGGACCACAAGGGTCATCTAGTCCAACCGCCTGCAATGAAGGAACCTTGTTGTCCAACATGGGGCTCGAACCCACAACCCTGAGATTAAGAATCTCATGCTCTTAATAACACTCTACAAATTTATACAATAATGTATGGGAATATCGTATACAGTGGTACCTCGGGTTAAGTACTTAATTCGTTCTGGAGGTCTGTTCTTAACCTGAAACTGTTCTTAACCTGAAGCACCACTTTAGCTAATGGGGCCTCCTGCTGCCGGTGCACGATTTCTGTTCTCATCCTGAGGTAAAGTTCTTAACCCGAGGTAATATTTCTGGGTTAGCGGAGTCTGTAACCTGAAGCGTATGTAACCCGAGGTGCCACTGTATTTGCCATTTGTGTGTGTGCATATTTTCGCTTTTATATGTATCTTTGTTGTTGTTTTTTCTCCCTCTCACTTTTCCTTCTTTTTTTCCTGTATCACTTGATTTATTTCAACTGAAACCTTAATTATATAGATATATATATAGAGAGAGAGAGTGTGTGTGTCTCATGCTCTACCAGCTGAGCTACCCCACAGGCATGGCAGCAGTTTTCTTAAGCTCCTTATTTCTTCCAGCCTGACCTTAACTGCCTCTAACCCTCTCATGGCACCCCCCTCTTAGCCACCATCACAGGGTCCCTCGCCCCAGGGGCCCTCTCTCCACACCCAGCCCCGGACCCCCAAGGGACGGGGAGATAGGGACTAGGGCAAGTGGGGGTCCATGAGGCTCGTCCTCTCCCATGGGCCCTCTGGGGGAAGGGCGAGGGGTGCCCTTCCCCTTCCTAGCCCTGATCCAGCCACGTGACCCAGTCCCGACAGGCACCGCCAACAACCGCCATCCCCACCAGCAGCGCTCCCCTCCTCCACCCGCCCCTTCCCCCCACCGTTACCAAGATACCGCCGCTGCCCGGCGTCCCACTTCCGCTCCGCCGCCTCCGGCATGTAACCATAGAGGGTCTTTTTCGCTCCGCGCCTAGAGACGCCTCTTCCTCCCCTTTTGCGTTTCCTCGTTGCGCTTACGGAGGCTGCGGCGCCCCCTGGCGACCGGACTCCGTTTTCCGCTCAAGTTTGCCGACTGCTGTTCATTGTGGCTGGTTGGTTTTTGCCATTCGAGTGGCTGCTGCGGTGGCTTTGGCACTGGCACGTTGCGAGTTTTGTAAGAAAGAAACGACGCTTGGTTTTACACGTGTGCAGCGGATTGAGGAAACCTAGCCAGATGGGCGGGGGTATAAATAATAAATTATTATTATTATTATTATTATTATTATTATTAATTAATACCGCTCCACTTAAACGAAATAATAATAAGACTTAAGAAAAAGGGGGAAAACACCGCTCCACTTCGGTAGTGAGATGTGCGTTTTTAATCACCACTTGCATATTTGTTTGTGAACCCCCTGCAAACAGAAAGCTAGCCCATCACGCACAAACATTTCTGATTTTAAATTGCTTCTTGCTGTGGTGCTAGCTTTCTATTTGCAGGGAGGTGTTTGAACAAAAGGGGACGTTTAAAAACAGCATGCCTCACCATCAGAAGAGCCCCTATTCATCGGGAGCATCTGTGGGTCCCCAGATGGTGTTGGACTACAACTCCCATCATCCCTGAGCTCTGGCCTTGCTAGCTAGGGGTGATGGGAGTTGTAGTTCAGCAACATCTGGGGACCCACAGGTTGAGAAAGGCTGGTTTAGACAAATATTTTTAAATGGATTGATCCAACAAACCAATTGTTAAACATGACAACACTACTAAATGCAAGATCTCCAGAAGGAAGTCAGTTGGAATGAACTGACTTGAGGAGCTGGATCAGGCCAATGGTCCAACTATTGCAGCGTCCCGTTCTCCACGTGGCCACCCAGATCCCTGTCGGAAAGTCTTAAGCATGACCTGAAGGCATGAGCGCTCCACCTGCCCCGCCCCCCGCCGTAGTTTCCAGCCATTGGTACTCAGAAGCATTACAGTACTGCCCCTTAGTGCGGAGGCAGAGAATAGTCATGATGGCTAATAGCCATGGATATTCGTCTCCATGAATTTGTGCACTGTACCCTCTTAAAGCCATTTAAGTGAGTGACCGTCGCTGCTTCCTATGGGAACGAGTTCCGTAGTTTAACTAATCTGATGAACTACAGTTGATTCCATCATTTCAGAACTTTCCTGCCTGAAATACAATTAGAAGCCAAGGACTCACAAGATAATGTCTAGATAAACTCTCCCTATGCCCAATAGCAGGGATGGGGGTGACGCTGTGGGTTAAACCACAGAGCCTAGGACTTGCCGATCAGAAAGTTGGAGGTTCGAATCCCCGCGATGGGGTGAGCTCCCATTGCTCGGCCCTGCTCCTGCCAACCTAGCAGTTCGAAAGCACGTCAAAGTGCAAGTAGATAAATAGGTACCGCTCTGGCGGGAAGGTAAACAGTGTTTCCATGCGCTGCTCTGGTTCGCCAGAAGCGGCTTAGTCATGCTGGCCACATGACCCAGAAGCTGTACACCGATTCCCTCGACCAATAAAGCGAGATGAGCATTGCAACCCCAACGACTGGACCTAATGGTCAGGGGTCCCTTTACCTTTACCTATGCCCAATAGCAGGTGGGATGAAAACATCATAGGCAGAGTGTGAAGTTGCAGTTATCACAACCTCCCAATAAGAACAACAACAAAAAGGAGAAAGAGGAAAGGAAAAAAATCTCTGCAATGTAGTTTGCATAACAGGCAAATCAAAGATAATCATGCAAATTAAGTGTGCTTTTGGAGCAGCATACTTCATTTGCCTAATTTCTGGAAAATACTTCATCCCTTCTCCTACCAACCAACAATCTGAAACAGTAACAGGAGAAGCAAAAAGTGTTTGCCTGTTTGCATTGTTCAGGAAGCAAGGTTTTCTCAGAGAGCATTTATTTTAAGTATATATGCTGCCCATCAATAAATACTAGTCTTGGAGTCGTCAGTAAGGGTCCTTCTGTCCACTGCTCCACTTTGCTCATCCCTAGAGGATCCCTATTACAACTATGGATGTATTTACTTTAGCAATGTGCTGGGCATTTCATGGAACACAGGAATAAAACCATCCCTACAGAATATCAGCTTGCCCTTTGTTTTTGTTGGCATCCTTCTGTCTCGAGAGGCAATAGCATGCACCGCTGGGGGTGAAGTCAAATCACTGCAAGTACCAAATTGGCCTCCCTGGGGCGCAAGCCTGGGCAGTGTATAAGGAGGTCCTGGGATTCCCAGATTGTTAAGTTGTGGGTGAACATATCAGACAACACAGCAATTCTTCAAACAGCTCTTGTTTATTCACAGGCCAGGACAGAACTGAGCTGAAGGGTTCAGCCAGCCTGCTTATATAGAGCTCCACTAGAATGCAACAGTAACCACTTTCTGTAACTATCCAATCACTGAACGTCACTTTCAATCCCTTATTTGCATATGTGGACCTGAGTGAAAACTATCTACAGTATCCCCCTGCTGGCCCAGGGTGAGAACTTCAGTACATAACACAGACGACAATACCAGCCTCACTTATGATAATAATAATAATAATAATAATAATAATAATAATATTTTATTTATATCCCGCCCTCCCCAGCCAAAGCCGGGCTCAGAGCGGCTAACAACAGTAAAAATAGCACAATTTACATAAAACCACAGTCAATTAATTGAAATACATTCTAAAATCAGTTCAGAATCAAATTAATGACAACCATTGGGCTAGAGTTCTATGAAGATTACAGAAGGAGAGAGGGGGTCAGACTGTGCCTTGGCCAAAGGCCTGGTGGAACAGCTCTGTCTTGCAGGCCCTGTGGAAAGATGTCAAGTCCCGCAGGGCCCCAGTCTCTTGTGACAGAGTGTTCCACCAGATCGGGGCCACGGCTGAAAAAGCCCTGGCTCTGGTTGAGGCCAGCCTAACCTCCCTGTCGCCCGGGATCTCCAAGATGTTTTTATTTGAAGACCATAAGGTCCTCCACGGGACATACCAGGAGAGGCGGTATGAGGGTCCTAGGCCGTATAGGGCTTTAAAGGTTAAAACCAGCACCTTAAACCTGCGGCCCAAAGGAAAGCAGAGCAATACGTTTGGCACCAGCTTGGAAGGAGGAGTACAAGGCGCCATCCAACCTTCTTAGGGAGTCCACTATGAATTGTGTAGGGTTTACTCCTTAGCTTTTTCTTCTCCCAAAGATATCCCGCAAGGCAGCAGAGGTTTAGGACCAGAGTTTTCCTTCTCCTAGATGGGCTACCTTCTCAGGTTGACAAGGCCCACCTGCCCCTCACTTCCCTCTACAGCAAGTGCAGAATCTGCCTTCTTGACCATTGGAACCAGGCTTGGCCTCATCCACTCAATCTGCTACAGCTTGTCTTTGCGTTCAGGGGAAGTCCCTAACTCACCAAGGGTTTGAGACCCATGCTTTAAACGTATCTTGCATACGCACTCGCAGACTCCTCTCTGTCCTCCATGCAAACAAGCAAGTTCAAGGGCATGTTCTAGCGAGCAAAAACAATCAAGGTGGGTGCTACGCAGTCTGGGTGGGGCTGAGTGTGGCTGATGTGAAGCTTGGGGAGGGGCTCAAGGGCCAGATGCAGGCGCCAGTGGCCCTCAGCTCCCTCATCCCTGTGCTCAAGGCACAAAACCAGGATATGCGTACAAAAGAGGCGGCTGCTCAGCTCGCAGAAGATGAGCCTGAGCTTTGACATGGATAATTCTGGATGGGATCCAAAGCAATTAAGTTTATTACTGGCTCGGGCTGTCTAGCTGCTTTTGATGGGCCTAGAGTGCATCCTTCACTCAAGAAAGGCATATTGGGGTGCGAGAGACTCCCCGCTTGCCTGCTGCCTTCAAGGCCCCCTAAGTTGTGAAATGTCAGAGTGCGCCTTTTATATGATATTTGAATTGACTTAAGCCGAGGTGGTAGTTCCACAAAGGCGTGAAGGAGCTTGCTGTTCCCACGGTAACGAAGCGTTTCTCCTGTCCCTGGGCGGTCTGGTAGCTAAGATACCTGCAACCGCTAGGCTCTCCCCTCCTTTTCAGCCCTTCCACCCTAGGTTGGCTGAAGTGTTTGCGCAAGAGGGGAGGCCATTGCTTTCTAAAGGGAACGGGCCTGGGTGAAGGACAGGGCAGCATTTGTGCTGTTGACACAGCCTTTGGATGCTTCAATAAGGAAATAACTTATTTGCATGCCACCGAGAGTCCAAACAAACAGTACAAAGCTCTCCATCCATCCACGACCAATCACAGGCAGGGTCGCCCATTTCCATGGGGAACGAAAAGAGGGACCACAAACTGCTGGCCACAGCTCCTTTGCTCTCCCAACACCCGAGTTCCAGCAAACAGAGGAGGCTAAGGACAGGCTGGTAAGCAGAAAGACTGTCTCAGAGTTCCCTTTCTATTATATTTCAATTTCAGTTCAAGCAAAGGGGGCTGTTGGAGGTGGGACGTGGGCATAGCCAGGATTTATTTTAGGCTTTATGTTGGGGATGGGGGGCAAAACCGAGTTAACTGCGATGCAATTGGTCAGTTGGTTAAGTATTTTTATTTATTTACTTGATTTAGAGAGGCAGCTGCACCCGCCCTGGCTACATCCATAGTTGGGGAGAAGGATAAGGACCGGGAGGTTGTGATACAAAGGCAACATTCCTGTGCCATCCAGGAGTAGCAAAACTCTCCTTGCATTGCACCTCTGAAAGTGTGTTTAAGGACCATCGGAGGAGAAAACAGAGCACCAAGTACTGTTTGATTGGCTAGCCAAACAATTGGGTGGAACTTTTGAATGCTGTTAAGCTTTTAAAAAAAGAAATTGGGCTGCCTTTTAACTGGATCAAACACATTTCAGGATTTTTAAGGACTGGGTAAATCAGGGGTCAGCAAACTTTTTCAGCAGGGGGCCAGTCCACTGTCCCTCAGACCTTGTGAGGGGCCAGACTATATTTTGAAAAGAAAATAAAATGAACGAATTCCTATT